GGAGCTGGACGCCCTCCTCCTGCCCTTGGAACTCAGAACTCCACATCTACCCTCAAGACTCAGGACTTGTGCCAGCTACTGTCCAGCTTCTCAGGACTTGGTCTTGGATGGAGATTATACCCTGGGTTTTAATGCACATAAGAACTTTACAACTGGTACCTGAGACACTCCCCACGCCACCCCCAGTACTGGGGTGGGGTGGGGGTTTACCAATATGCAGGCGCCACAAGAAATCAAATATGTACTCAAAAGAGGGTGGGCAGGGCTGAGGTTGTAGTTCAGTGGTGGAGCACTTGCCTAGCACGTGTGAGGCACTGGGTTCGATCCTCAGCACCAAATAAATAAATAAATCTTTTTTTTTTTTAAATGGATGGGCAAAGCAAACTTTACTTTGCCAGAAGAGGGTGCTACCAGAACCTGGATGGCAAGTAAGCCTGGGCAGGCAGTCCTCCTGCTTATACCCCAATGCAGGGCTGCTCTTCGCCCTGCAAGGAGGATTGGAGGAGCTCAGAAGTACAATGGACATGATTGGATACTTTAAAAATTGGGAGGGGCAGAGGGAAGGGCTATAATTTAAATAGTCACAGTAGGACCCAAGGAAGCTGAACACTGCATTGTGAAAATGAACCACCATTATCTGTTTCTCAAATGATTGAACCCAGGGCTCCATGCATGCTAGAAGGCACTCTACCACTGAGCTACGTCCCCAGCCCTGAGACTTTGCACCTGGACTGAGAGTTCCACCATTGCCATCCGTGGTTCTGGAGCCTTTAGACTTAGACTGGGCCCCTCTACCAGAATCCCAGGTCTCCAGCCTGCAGAAGGTCTATGTGGGAATCCTCCTAATTAGAAAGTCAATTCCCTTTGTAAACCCTCCCCACATAGCTATACCTGTATGTAGGTTGCTGTGTGTATGTGTGAGAGAGAGCGAGAAAATTTTTTTTCTACTATTTCCATCTCCCAGAAGAACCTTGACTAACACAGTTCCCAAGTGCCTTGAGTTGATATGGATTATAATTAAAACTGAGAAAAACTTAAAAGATTACACAAGCACATAGCTTATCAGCCCCAAGAGATCTTGTCATCACACATCACAGAGCCCCAGGAAATCTCTATTGGCCCATGAAGAAAAAAAGTTAAAAGAGCAAATACAGCTCAGTGCTACCAGGAAAATAGTTTAAACTTCATAAACCTCATGAAAATGCCTCTTCCAGACCCCTAGAACAGAACTTTTTTTTTAAATTTATTTTTTAGTTGTGGTTGGACACAATACCTTTGTTTTATTTATTTTTTTATGTGGTGCTGAGGATCAAACCCAGGGCCCTGCACACACTAGGCAAATGGGCTACCACTGAGCGACACCCCAGCCCAGAAAGGCCTTCATAACTACTGATTTAGAGATCATTATCTGGATCATGGAAAACCTACTTCCAGTCACAGTCCTCCCATGGAGAACCAGGGCCTGCACTTCTCTGCAAGGCAGGTGTCAGCCCAGCCATCCTGTGGATGACCTCATTGAAACCCTTCAGAAACCTTTTGCAATAAACAGCACTATCACTCCTATTTTCAAAAAAAAAAAAAAAAAAAAAGAGAGAGAGAAAGAGAAAGAAACATATGCAAGGGCCTTCACTCGGTGCTTATATTACTGAGAGTTTAGTCTTGTCCCCAAAGCCAATCTAATAATGAGGACCCAGTTTTGAGAAAAAGGAGAAAGAAGTTTTACTGCTTTGCAAGCAAAGGAGAAACACGGGGAACCTCTATCCCAAAGTATGTGATTCTACCTGTCAGAGGGAACAGAGGGTTTAAAGGGGTCAAAGACTGCATTTCAGGTGTGCCCTGTCAGGGGTCATAATTCTCTTGCAGACTTGGGAGAAAGCGATTTCTTAGGTCTTCTGGTGCCATCTGTGAAGTTTGGATGACTTCATTTCTGTGATGTATGAGGATAGACCACTCAGCCTAAGATGGAAAAAAGGGTCATCTTGCTTCCTCCAGGGTTAGGGAGGGGGAGAAAGAGAAGAGAAAAAGGAGGTGGTGTCAGTGTTAAATCAGCTACAGGGGGCTGGGGATGTGGCTCAATGGTAGAGCACTTGCCTAGCACACATGAGGCACTGGGTTTGATCTCAGCACCACATAAAAAAATAAATAAATAAAGGTATTGTGTCCATCTACAACTTAAAAAATAAATAAATAAGCTGCAGTGGCAAACCAGGCATGATGGCACACTCCTATAATCCCAGCAACTCTGGAGGCTGAGGCAGGAGGATCCGTAGTTCAAACTCAGCCTCAGCAACCTAGCGAGATCCTGTCCCCCCCAAAAAAAAAAAAAACATTAAAAAGGAGCTGGGGGCACTCCAGCTCAGTTGGCAGAGTGCTTCCCTAACATACACAAGGCCCTGGGCTCAATCCCCAAGCACCACCAAAATAAAAAAGAACTTAAAAAGGTGCTGAGGCCAGGCACAGTGGCACATGCCTGTAATTCCAGTGCCTCAGGCGGCTGAGGCAGGAGGATCATGAATTTCAAGCCAGCCTCAGCAACAGCAAGGCCCTCAGCAATTCAGTGAGACCCTGTCTCTAAATAAAATATGAAATGGGCTGGGGATGTGGCTCAGGGGTTGAGAGCCCCTGAGTTCAATCCCCAGTACCAAAAAAAAAAAAAAAACAAAAAAAAAAGGATATGGGGTGCAGAGCAGCAGGGTTATGTTCAAAGCATGAAGTGGACCTGGCTCCACGTGGACGGAGTGCTCTCAGCTGAGGCCCCAGCAGCGGTTCTGGGATCTCCCTTGTATCTGGAGTTCTGATGCTGGGTCTCAAGTAGAAAAACTGGCCCTGTGGCCAGTCGGAGCCCTTGTAGCTCCTTCCCATAGAGCCAAAGACTGCCCCACCCAGATGGCTGCCTGCAGCTTCTCCATGTGGCCTCCTGGGCTGCAGCTGCAGCCTGATCCCAGCGCCTTGGGTCTGCTCCAGGGGGCCTGGTGGTAGTGGCAGGGGTGCACCATCAGCTTCTTTGATTTTGTTGACTATGATCTTTTAAAATGGCAAGAATACATTATGCCGAGGGACCATGGCTTGTTTCTGAAACCAAAAATCACATCTGGAGGATTTTCCTGAAAAAGATAAGAACCTTGTGAAGTGATTGAAGAATTACATCCAGCACATGGAAACTTCACAATGGCTGCTCCCCTTGCCTGCAGGGCTCCTTCTGAATATTATGGAACATGACTGCTGAGGGTTATGTTATTTGTATGTCAACTCCTGTAACTAAAATGGTCATAATCTGTTTAACCAAAAAAAAAGATAAACAAGGCACAGAAAGTTCTGTTGCTTGTTGATCATCACAATAATTGCCAGACCTAGGTTTATAAACAGAAGCAGAAAGCTTTTAGTGCCTGAACTCTTACCTTGTGTGCAGAATTGATTTCATAGCTTCTAAGAAAGGACAGCAATACTCAGTGCTAAATTACATGTTTGCAGGTTCAGAAGGTCACTTTAACCTCAGTGAGTCTTGGTTTCCTTTCTTTATTCTTTTTTTTTTAATTGATGCATTAGGGTTGCACATAATGGTGGGGTTTGTTGTTCCAGATCAGAACCTGCACACAGTAGAGAGATACAGATACAGATAGATAGATACTGTCCAATATCACCTCCCCCAGTTCTACATTCCCTCCCTTCTCCCCTCCCCAGTCCCTTTCCTCTACTCCAGGATCTCCCTCTGATTTTCAGGAGCTCCTCCCCAGACCAACACCTTTCTTTTCCTTTTTCTTCTCTAGCTTCCACATGAGACAAGACATATGACCCTTGACCCTCTGAGTGTGGCTTATTTTGCTCTCCATCCATTTTCCTGCAAATGACACAATTTCATTTTTCTTTATGGATGAATAACATTCCATCATGTACATACGCCACTTTTCTTCACCCATTCATCTGCTGAGGTTGGCCCCTTGGGTTGGCTGTCACTCACTGTGCTGCCGTGGACATGGCTGTGGGTCGCTAGACTGTGAGTCTGTGAGTCTTGGTTTTCTGAACTGTGAAATGGACATAATGTCTATGTTTCAATCTTGATAAGTAAAATAGAATGAAAAATTAGAAACTGGCCTGAGGCCACTCCACAGAGATGTGGTGTCAAGGGAATGCATGAGAACTTCAAGAGTTGACAGTTTCAACTAAAATCCTGGCTAAGGCATGCCCGCTGAGTAACCATCCAAGGAGTTGGGGCCTTTTGGAGAGCACTTACTTTAAATGCTTATTATTCTACCACAAAAAGAAAGGAACTTGCTTTAAGTAGTAAAAGGAAGCAGAAACAAGCCTGATGAGAAGTGATTTAAAGAAAATGGATTTCCAGGGTCTTAGATGCAGCTCAGTGGTGGACTCCTCCTTGATATGCAGGAAGCGCTGGACTCAAACCCCAGAACCACAAAGCAAAGAAATTAAGACAAAGTTTGTTAGTGTTAAGCCCATCCCGATTCCCTCAAGGTCAGGAGCCATCTTGTCAAAGTTATAAGATTCAGTTCTGTTTTCCGTAAAATAGGATTTCTATTTAGCCTGGCTGTATTTGGATGTTTTAAACTTGCTTGGAATGCCTGCGCATGCCTTGAACTCACCCAGGCCTGGACCCCCCTGGCCAGATAGCAGCCCTCTCTGAAACCCTAATGGTGCCTCATAAATCCTGATGTTGGGATCTAAATTTACTCCCTAAGTGCTGAACCATGTAGACCATTCACCTACTACCTGCCTTGTGTTATGCTTCTCAAAATCCTGTTGTCTGTATGTTCTCCAGACACCAACCTTTTTGCAACTTCCTGTGCTATTAAGCTGCGCTCTTAGAGAGCTGGAGAACTGTCTTCTATCTCATGGATTTCTGGAGAGGGACAGTCCTGGCTAGCTGGAATTACAAGCTTGCTTTAGTTTGATTTCAAATTGGAGTTGGTGGTCTTTTCTTTGCATCATGGTTTAACAGTCCATCATGAAAAAAAAGAGAATACTAACTGCAAGATTCACTGAAGCAAAAGAAACTTTATTGAAAATTGAGGAAAATCAGCAGAAAAATAACCTCAAACAAGTAACAAAGCAAAGACCAAAAGGAAATAAGAGGGAAAAAATACCTAAATTAAGACAAAGCTCCAAACTATTTCAAAATGATGGAAATGGATTGGATATGGACTCTAAAAGAGGCAGCTGGGGGTGGGGATCTGATGTGGGTGTGGCTCAGCAGAGACTGTGGGGAAATCCTTGTGGGAGAGCAGAGGTCCTTCATTCCTGGAGATGCAGGCAACCGCTGCACTGGGCTGCAGACCAAGACCCCCATAAACGAGGAAAGATAGTGATAACATTGGCCAGGGGCGGGGGCAGCATCAAGGGAAGGAAGTGCACCCAGGAACACCCATTCCACTCAGACTGGAGACCCAGACACTCCCAGGTGACTCAAATGACAGGTGATGAATGGTAGCCAGAGACAGGACCTGTGGGACCTGTGGAATGGGGCAGGTGCAGAACCCCCATCCACTCAGAAATCTCCTGGACCTGATTTGTCTGTGTCTTCAAGGTCACCTTCCTCAGGCTCTGCAGTGGAGAGTCTCTTCAAGATGGCTTCTAGTTCCTTTTCCTCTCCCCTCATGGGCCAGGAACTCTGCTGGGAACCACCCCGGAGGTTCCCACAGGCCTGGACCCGAATAGAGAACCTTCTGGGTCTTCTGGAGCTGGGAGAGTGGTTATCTTGGCAGGATGGGCATATACAACAGAATTTGGACCAGGATGGGCCTGCCCAGGATGAGTGGGCACAGGATGAGTGTGAGGGCCGACGCAAGTGTCCTGCATATGGATGATAGCCTCGTGCATACAGATGATAGCCTCGTTTATGCTTTATCTTACGTTCCACAGTAAACCAATCCTGGGGAGACAAAAGAGACACGGAAAGATGTAGAGGGACTTCTCACACCTGCCTGGGCCCCAGGTGAGAAGGTGCATGTGGGTGCGGGCACTGGGCCCAGGGCATGTGCCTCTAATCCAGACATTTGGGTGGCTCAAACAGGATGGTGAGCTCAAGGCCACCCTGGGTCATCCAATAAAGGGCAGGGTGCTAGCTTGGTGGTGGGGAGCTGGTCTGACACTGGGAGCCAAGGCCCTGGGTTCTGTCCCCAGCTCTGCAAAATGAGAACCAAAACAGAGAGGTCCCTTGGGCTCTGGAGGTCGAAGGCAAGGGGGAGAAACCCAGAGGGAGAGGACCCAGAGCCCAGGGATGGGAGTAATCTGCCAGGGTCTCCTCGGGTTTAGAGGGTGCTGGGCTCTGGGTCCTGGAAGGGCACCGGGCAACAGTCTGGGCTGATCAAAGTTGTGCAGCACAGAAGGCAGAAGCTGAGCTTGGGGTCCAGCCAGAGCCCAGGAGGACCCAGGGTAGCTTGGGCCCATGTGTGCCCCAGGCTTCTGCAGAGGGAGCGTGGGACAGGGCCCAGCCAGCAGGGCAGGCCCTCCCCTGCCAGGGCAAGGTAGGGGTGTGGAGCCTGAGTCCCACCTGCACGTGTCGCACTTGTTTCTCCTCTAGGCCGAGGCAGGAGTCCAGGGCCACCAGGGTACTGTGGGATGGAAAGGGGTCCTTCAGGAAGTGCTCCTCCAGCTTCTCCACCTGCTCTTTGCTGAGGATCAAAATAGTCCCACTCGACACCAATGGCTCTGGGAGAAAGAAGAAAATCAGAGAAGCCCCACAGACCATCCCCAGCCACCCCCCATTGACAATGCCCTCCCCTGGGCCACAGGGACTCAGCTGGCAAGGTGGGCGGCAGCACAGTGGACAGGAAGTGACACCTGGACCAGCCCCAGGGTCACACCTGGCTTCCGCCTTCCAGCCCAGCCCTGCCCCTCGCTGCCGCAGTCTGGCTGGGCACAAATGCCGCAGTCTGGCTGGGCACACAATCACGAGCCACCACACAGCTTGTAGATTCAAACAGCAACTCTTTATTCCCGAACTCACACCAGCCGTCTACAATCACGTTCTGGGGAAATCCACGTTCTCTTCCCAAATCCTCCTTCTCTCCCAAATTCACCTCCACTGGGCTTCTATCTCCAAAATATACTGTCTGAATCCCGTGAGAACTCAAGGGGAACTCAGGCAGCAGGATACGCCCTATTCCCAGCAGGAATAATCTTAAACCTTAAACCTGGAACCTAAACTGGGAACGCCCTAAACACGATTATCTTAAAACCGGGAACACCCTAATCTGCCTAGGTCCTTGAGCAAGGTCACGTACATTCAATGTCACTGCAACATGGGGTACGCTGGCAAGGAAATTGTCATACCTACTTGGCTAATGGCTCCCAGCATCTCCCCCCTTCTGATTAATTAAACAACAAGCAATGTGGCTTAAGGACCGTGCCTGGTAGGTTGTCCAATTCAACATATGGTTCTTACCCGTCATCGGAAAACTGACCTTTAGGCGTCAGCCTCCTGTCTTAGGTTGATACCACTGCAATTGAATCATACCCGTCACTGACTACCGGTCCAGCATAAGCCATACTTGTGGATAGGTCTATGCACCAGTGGGGGGGTGAGGTTCTTTGCCTCACCTCTGTTGGCCCCCAAATTTGGCCTTGGTGCCAGTGGGGGAGTGAGGTTAATGTGGCTTATGGACCGTGCCTGGTAGGTTGTCCAATTCAACATATGGTTCTTACCCGTCATCGGAAAACTGACCTTTAGGCGTCAGCCTCCTGTCTTAGGTTGATACCACTGCAATTGGATCATACCCGTCACTGACTACCGGTCCAGCATAAGCCATTGGCCCCCAAATTTTAGACCATCACTAGCAGAAGGGAGGAGGATACAGAAATGCCACGACACCAAGCCAATTGACAGCTCCTTGGGAAAAATTGCATCACTGGTGACACCATCAGCAAAGATATGCCAGCATTACCACAATTCGCTGCACCAAACGATAGTTACATAGTCCAGGCAAGTTCTGCAAGCAGTTCAAAGCAGAGGAATCTATCAATATGTCCATTTCCTCCCAAATCCGTTCCTCCCAAGTAAGTTGACTCTTTGATTGAGCATTACTTGTTGAGTTCTTCACCAGCACTGAGATGGAGATAGGAATTCTGGCAATGATGCTAAAGAGACATTATCCTGAAAAGAATTATTAAATATAATGAAAAGGAAAGGTGAAAGTAAACAAACAGATCTGTTAACCTACTTTAAAAACAATCCTTAACAGCTTTTTACCTAATTTAAATTAGTAAACAAACAGATCTGTTAACCACCTTTAAAAACAATCCTTAACAGCTGTTTACATAATTTAAATTAAACCATTTAAATCACGTGAATAAAAAAATAATAATAATTCGGATCCATTTTTTCATGAGCGCTCCTCATATAAGAAATATGGACATACGCACATACAGACATACAACACAAAACACAAGAGTGTACACAAACGTACAACACATAATAGTAAAGGCCTTGTAGCTTTACCTGGGTGAAATCTCCATTGCAATGTTTAAAAACTCCACAGTCAAAAAATAAAACTGATCAGAAAAACATTAACCTAGGTTTGTATGAGCTCAAAAAATAAAAATAGAACCTTATGATGTGGAAAAATGCAATAATAAAATAGCTATTGAAAAAAGCATCCTGGTTAATCACTGTCGCAGATGTAAGAATGGCCAAGCTGGAGTTCTGGATATCAGCTGTTATGGATTTGAGTCAAATCATCTTCTTTTCGATCTGTAGAAACTGTTTTAGTTAATCTCTCTGGAATCCAAATGGGCTGCTGTTCTCCCTGTGGAAAAACACAAACAGACCCCCGACTCCAGACAATCACTGGGTCAGGACCTTTCCATTGTCCTGTTAGAATATCTTTCCAAAGTACTTTAGGCTTATGTACATTTTTTGGATACATATGCCTTTCCGCAGCACTAAGTCCTGATGAATCCAAATTTAAAAAGTTTAGAGTAAAAAGCGTTATTTTAAGTTTATCTTTGGGGGATATATACCCCCTTCCAATTCCCTCTTTTTGCTTTAATAAGTATGTTTTAATAGTTTGATGAGCTCTTTCAACTATGCCTTGTCCCTGTGGATTGTATGGGATTCCTGTTATATGAGTGATACCAAATGATGAGCAAAATTGTTTAAAAGAGGTAGAGGTATAGCCAGGACCATTATCGGTTTTTAACTGTTTAGGAACACCCACAGTGGCAAAATTTTGTAAGCAATGAGCTATAACATCTTTAGTTTTTTCTCCGGCATGAAGGGAGCCCATCAAAAATCCAGAAGAAGTATCGACTGTAACGTGTAAATATTTTAATTTTCCAAATTCTGGCAAGTGTGTGACGTCCATCTGCCAAATATGGTTAGGTATCAGTCCTCTAGGATTGACTCCAAGATTAACTTGTGGTAAAAATGTCACACAATTTTGACATTGTTTTATTATATGTCTGGCTTGTTCCTTAGTTATTTTAAAACGCTTTTGTAAAGTATTAGCATTAACATGAAACCTTTTATGAAAATTTGTAGCTTCTTCAAATGTAGAGAAAATATGTATGTCATGTGTAGTTTTATCTGCTAAATCATTGCCTAAACTAAGGGCTCCAGGCAATCCTGTATGTGCCCTAATATGTCCTATAAAGAATGGATCTTTTCTGTCCCAGATTAGACTTTGTATAGTGGAAAACAAAGAGAAAACAGTAGAAGAAGGGGAAATCCTACCAGCATCTTCAAGAGATACTATAGCATTAACTACATACTGACTATCAGAAAATAAATTAAATACAGAATCTTTAAACATCACAAAAGCTTGTAATACTGCATTAAGCTCTACCTTTTGAGCTGATTGTTTGGGTACTAAAAATGTAAAAGTTTGATCAGGGGTAACTACTGCTGCTGTACCATTATTTGACCCATCAGTGAATATATTTGGAGCATTCATGATAGGTGTTTTTCTTGTCATTTTAGGAAAAACTACAGGATGCTTAGACCAAAAAGACAACAAAGGATTAGATGGTAAATGATTATCAAATGAAACATTAGATTTACACATGATTATTGCCCAAGTATTTAACTCATTAGCTAACTCATCAATTTGATCCATAGTATATGGAGTAATAATTTTATTGGGAGAAATTCCAAACACTGCCTTCGCTGCTTTTATTCCTTTGAGTATTAATTGTCCTACAGCCTCAGGATACCTAGTAAGAATAGTGTTAGGAGAATAAGGTAAATGTATCCACAATAATGGACCTTCTTGCCAAAATACTCCTGTAGGAATATTTTTTGTTGGTAGTACAATAAATAATAAAGGCAAACTTATATCAATTCTATCCAAATGTATGTTTTCCATATATGTTTCAATAATTTTTAATGCCTTTCTTGCTTTAGGAGTTAACATGCGGGGTGAATTTGGATCTGATGGACCTTTTAGAATATCAAATAAAGGTCCCAACTCTCCTGTTGGTATACCTAGATAAGGCCTTATCCAATTTATGTCTCCCAATAACTTTTGAAAGTCGTTAAGTGATTTGAGTTGATCTACTCGTATTTGAATTTTTGGTGGACGGACCATGGTTGAGGATAATAGAACTCCTAAATAATTAATTGGAAAATTTAATTGTACTTTATCTATTGCTATCTCTAGATTATAATTTTTTAATAAGTTTGTAAGTGTGGCATAACATTCCAGCAATATGTTTTTATCTTTATGTGCCAATAATACATCATCCATATAGTGAAATATTTGTAGTTCAGGATTTTGATTTCTAAGTGGCTGGATTGCTTTGTTAACATATATTTGACACATAGTTGGACTGTTAGCCATCCCTTGAGGGAGTACTTTCCATTCATATCTCTGATCAGGACCTTCATGATTTAATGCAGGGATAGTAAATGCAAAACGTGGACTATCCTCGGGATGAATTGGAATTGAAAAAAAACAATCTTTAATATCTATAGCTAAAACATGCCAGGTTTTTGGCAAAGCAGACAATTGAGGAATCCCTGATTGAGCAGGTCCCATAACAACCATCTCATTATTAATGGCTCTTAAATCTTGCAACAATCTCCATTTACCAGATTTCTTTTTGATGACAAAAATGGGAGTATTATGGGGAGATATGGAAGGTTGTATATGTCCTTCCGTTAATTGTTGTTTGACCAGATCATGGGCTACTTGTATCTTTTCTTTAGTCAGGGGCCACTGAGGAACCCACACTGGTCTTTCTGATTTCCAAGTAATTTTGATTGTCTCAGTGGCCCTTTCTGAAAATCCAACCCATGTCTGTCTGTTCCTTGATCTATTTGTACTGGTGCTGCTATACCTTGCCCTTGTTTTCCTAATCTTTTTTCTTTCCTAAAGCCTTGTCTAGCTCTAGTAGTGGGCACATTAGGATTGATATTATTTGTTAACGTCAAACCTAATTGATCTAGGACATCTCGTCCCCATAAATTTATAGGAAGATGATCCAATACATATGGCTGTATAGTTCCTTCACATCCTTCAGGATCCTTCCAATCTAATATCATAGAACTTCTATGGGGATTAGTCGCCACTCCTAGGCCTCGAAGCGTTTGAGTGGCTTGTTGTAATGGCCAATGTTTTGGCCATTCTTGACGAGATATGATGCTAAGGTCAGCTCCTGTGTCCAGTAGCCCATTAAACTCATGACCTTGAATATTTAGTTTTAGCATTGGGCGAGAATCTAAATTTAAAGACAACATAGCCCAATCTACACCTGTGGAGCCTAATCCCCTGGAACCTCTTTCTACACTATGACTAGGAAATTTATTATGTAGGCTGGGTATTATTAACAACTGTGCTATTCTATCTCCAGGTGAAATTACTGATATACCTCTTGGAGAACTAGCTATAATTTTTATTTCACCTACATAATCGGGATCAATTACCCCAGGACTTATCATAAGTCCTTTTAATGTAGATGAACTACGTCCCAGTAATAAGCCTACTGTTCCTTGGGGAAGAGGTCCTTTTACTCCTGTGGGAATGATTTGAACTCCCATCTCTGGAGTTAATACTGCTCTGGCAGAGGCACAGATGTCCAACCCTGCGCTCCCTCGGGTTTGTCTGATGAGGGATTTAATGGACAATGTGTCCTGGGCACTACCCTGATGGTGTTGCTGGGATCCTCCACTGCCCCGTATATTTGTGGTTGTGGGCCCCGGAGCATTGGGCCCCCCTGTCCGTTTTTTGGCAATGGAGCCTGATGCCTTTCTCCACGATATCTTGGATAAATACCTGGTCTTTGTCCGTTTTTTGATAAGGGAGTACCTTCTATGGTGGTTTGAGAACGGCATTCATTAGCCCAATGTCTCCCTCTACGGCATCGTGGGCAAATACCCGGTATTCTATTCCTTTGATACCTACTTTTGTTAAACCCTCCTCTTATGGGGCAATTCCTTTTAAAATGTCCTGTTTGTTCACAATCATAGCATGTTTTTGGCCTGGCATCTAAAGCCTGTTGTACTGCAGCTGCCAAGACTTGCCCTTGTTCATTAATATCTCTACATAATTTAATATATGTGTTTAAATCTTCATGTCTCCATGGTCTAATAACCTCTCTGCAGCAACGATTTGCTTGGTCATAAGCCAGTTGTTTTATTAATGGCATTGCTTGTTCTGTATCCCCAAAAATTTTGGCAGCCGTTTGAATTAGCCTATCTACAAAGTCAGCGTAAGGTTCATTAGCTCTCTGTATTACCTTAGATAGCTGACCTTGTAAATCTCCATGTCCTTGTAAAGTCTTCCATGCCCTAACTGCGTCTGCAGCAATTTGTGCATATATAGCAGGATCATATTCAATTTGTTGCCGTTGACCCTCATAAGGTCCTTTTCCTAACAACATATCTAGATTTCTTTGAGGGTAACCGGCTGCTGCATTTCGCCTAGCTGTCTCCGCACAAAATTCCTCATTGGCAACCTTCCATAACAAATATTGTCCTCCATTTAGTACAGATTTACACATGCTAGCCCAATCTGCTGGCGTCATGTCCAAGTTAGTAATGGACTCGACCATGCTTACCGTGAAGGGAGCTTGGGGCCCGTAGGTTGTTACAGCCTCCTTTAACTGCTTCACTGTTTTAAAATCTAAAGCACGGTGAATTCGCTGCCCTCCTGCCTGTTCAAGTACAGGGCATGCTAATCTTTGAGGTCCTGTCTCAGGATCCCATTTATCAACTACGGGGTTTGAGGGCCACTCAGCTGTCTCCATCGGTGGGGCTGTTGGTTGAATTATGCCCTCTTGTGATAAAATGGAGTTAGTAACAGCCTCCTGTTGTGGCCTTTTTCCTAACAACCCCTTTTCCTTTAAATTTTCTTCCTCTGTCTGACTAGCTCGAGAGACCTTCTCTTTTGCTTGATCTAAAATGTCTTTCTCCATGGTCTGAACCTCTAACAATTTACTTAACATCTTTTCGGTTTGTTTTTTACTAATTTCTAATCTACTATAAAGATAACGCAACCCAATAAGATAGCACAAAACAAAGCCGAAACTGAATGAAACAAAAACGGAATAAAAAATCGTTGTATCAATTTTCTCTTCCTCAGGGCCGACAAACTTCAAACCTTTAGTCAACCATTTTTTCCAGTTTGCCTGAGAAATTTCTAGGGATAGGCAGCTTGAAACAAAAACAAGATAAATCAAAACAATAACACATTGTTTTTTGAGTTGGTCACCCATTCTTTCGCTCTTCCTCAGGGGCGAGCAATTTCACTTACCTCCAAGCTTCAGAAGTTCCCCGTACAAGCCACCAAATGCCGCAGTCTGGCTGGGCACAAATGCCGCAGTCTGGCTGGGCACACAATCACGAGCCACCACACAGCTTGTAGATTCAAACAGCAACTCTTTATTCCCGAACTCACACCAGCCGTCTACAATCACGTTCTGGGGAAATCCACGTTCTCTTCCCACCTCGCCAGCTTTGAGGTGGGCCTGGAAAGGGCTGCTGTACTCTCGGGACCCTCGGCCCAGGGGGGCAGGCCAGGAAGGGCCCTCACCCCAGAGCACTGAGCCCTGGCCTCCAGCCTGCTTTGCCCTCCCCAGCCTCTGCACTCCCCATCCCAGGGCTGAAGGCACTTTCAGGGGCCACAGGGCCCCAAGCTCTGCTCAGGCACCAATGCACATCTTCACCTCAGAGTCCACATCTGAGCCTGGTGTGGGGCCCTGTAATCCCAGGGGCTTGGGAGGTTGAGGGAAGAGGATCCGAGTTCAAAGCCAGCCTCAGCAAAAAGTGGTCTGAGACCACTGAGACCAAAGGGAAATGCACTCTGGGCTTTAACTCTTGGCCTGACAGCACTCAAGCCCCACAGACCGCCCCCTCCCCAGCCAGGTCACAGAGCTTGGTGAACTGCCCTCAGCCTCAGAAATCAGGAGGCTCTTGCCAGAACTCAGAGGACCCTCCTCAGTGTTCCCCTCTGGCCACCTCAAGGAGAACACATCTTTAAACCGCACCTGAACACGGCCATCCCCGCTCAGCCCCTGCCCTCCCAAACAGCATACTCTGAGCTGGGGAGCCGTCCTGCCTCTGGGGTCAGCTCAGGCTCCCCTTCTCTGGAGCCCAGGTTAAAGTCTTGCCCGCGGGTCCCCTGGCCACCCAGGGCTTCTGCCATCACCAAGCCCAAGCTCCCAGGTGGGGCTCAGGCCTCCCCGCTCTGCAGGGCAGAAGCCCCCTGGACAAGCTGTGCTCTTCTCTGGATGGACACTCCACAGCCCAGCCACAGAGCCCACCTCCCCCTCGCTGAAGGAGGACAGAAGGGACAAAGCCAAAGGAGAGACAGGAAGCGCTGGGGGACATTTTCACTTACACACGCCTCGCTCCCAGATTCCTGGACCCCTCCAGATCCACCCATTATTCCTCCCTCCCATAAGTAGATCCAGCCAAGACAGACATGAGATCTGAGGACGCTATAATTTAGGGGACTTTGTGTCGCTGTCTATTCATAGGTGAGGAAGCCAGCCCCAGCAGAAGCACCAGCCAATTGAGAGCAGAGGACGGACACCAGTCCTAGGTCTCTGCACCCACCTCTCCCCAACTTTTCTTTTGTTTTTCCTTAACTACTGGGGATGGAACCCAGGCCAGCTTTGGAGCCTGAGACACATCCCCAGCCCTTTTAACCATTTGAGACTGGGTCTCCCCTAAGTTGCTTAGGGCCTTGCTAAATTGCTGAGGCTGTCCTCAACCTTCTAATCCTCCTGCCTCAGCCTCCACAGTTTCTGGGATTATAGGCCCCTGTCTCCAAACCCTGCTACCAAGTTTCCTGTAAAAAGAGCTGGGAACCCCCAAAGGACCTCTCCCGCTTGAGACTGGCCCCATTCTTCCTTCTTTACTTGTGGGAGGCCATCCTGGCGCGTGATTTGAGTTACCTCCCTGGCTGGGAGGGAGGCGCTTAGGCACATCTTGTGTCCAGAGCTTTCCCCTCCCTTCTCAAGACTTGTACCCCAAAGACCCAATCTTTGCCCCTGACCTTGGGACACTGCCCCCTTTAATATTCACTGGATGGGATGTTCTCCAGAATTTTGTTCCCCAATAAAAGTCCACTCCCTGGGTGATATCTCTCTCTCTCTCTCTCTCTCTCTCTCTCATCTTCAATAAACCTTGCTACTCTAATAGGTAGCTGGAGGCTGGAGCTAGGTGAAGCTGGTCTGAAGGTAATTAGAGTCTGTCTCAAACTCCCTGAAGGTTCCTCACATAATGAGCCTTCATTTATGAAGCCTGTGCTTTGAATGGTGCATGTTGGAGTACTTTTGCCAAGAAAACCGCTCGTCCCAAACAGAGCCCCCCTACTCCAGGAACTCCCCCTTGGACGCCCCTTCAGAGACAGCCCTTCTCCTGTGACATCCCTCCGCTTGGAGGCCCGCGCCGCCCCCAACTAGCTCACCCAGTGTATCGCGCATTCTTTTCATCTCATCCTTGACAACTATGTCATTCATGGCAGCGACCTCTCTTTCCATTTTATCTCTGGCAGCGGAGGCCCAGTTCAGAGGAGTGGGACCAAACCCTCAAGACCCCGGGCTTAAATAGCCCACCTGCAGGCTGGCCCAGCCCCACCTCCCCCGCCCCCTGGGCCCGCCCTGGGAGGGGTCTCCCTGCTGGATTCCAACTTCCCCCCAGGAGCTGAGGCTTGCTGTGGGGGAACCACAGGACCCACCAACACAGCCTCAGCCTCTCACCAGCCACTTCCCGGGGTGTCCTCCTTCCCGACCCGGCCGGAGCCCCATCTCTTTAGGGCCAGGGAATTGGTCCACCACCCACCTACCTGAGCCCACTCCAGTCACTGCTACTCCATCCTGGGGAGCCCCCAGCCTCCTACCAGGTCCCCCAAGGACACACTCCACTCTTCAAGTTGCAGGCTGCAGGCCTAGGCTGTGACCTTGGCTTGGGCTGCTCTGCCCTGGGGCTGGAGGCTCAGGGGTGTGCCCAGGGAGGACTGTTGAGGTCTTCTGGGGGTGGAGTAAGAGGGCTTCAGGGTTCTGAAGGGCCCCCTGGGTTTGATTCTGCCATCCTTAAACCACCACGGAAAGACCCCCAACTCCAATTTAAAATAAATTAAAGCAAGCTTGTAATTCCAACCAGCCGGGACTGTCTCTCCAGAAACCTGTGGGTGAGAGAACAGCCCCCCAGCTCTCTAGGAGCACAGCTTTATAGCACTACAAGTCACAAAGGGGGTGTCTTGAGAACTTACAGAGAACAGGATTTTGACAGGCATAACCCAAAGGCAGGCAGTAGGTTAATGGTCTACAGGGTTCAGCACTTAGGGAGTGAACTGGGATCCAATGTCAGAATTTATGAGGCACAGCTGAGGTTTCAGAGAGGGGTGTTATCTGGTCAAGGGAAGCCAGGCATGGTGAGTTCGAAGCACGGGAAGGCATTCCAAGCAAGTTTAGACATCCAGTAATTTACAGTAAAAGAGAAATTAACTTTTGTGAAGAGGTGGCTCCGAATCTAGGAGGGAATTAGGCTGGGTTCATCACCATGCTGGCGGACCTCGTCCCTCCTGGCCTCGGATTAAGGGGACTGATGAGGGGGGTCACAGACCAGGGACCTCAAAATAACTCAGCCAAGTTCAAAATGACATGAAACGTTTACAGATTCTTAGGACAGGTCTGTCTCCTTACCTAATACTGCTGCTCAGTGTCCTGCCTGGGATACGCCCCACCCAAGGCTGGAGACACCACCCACGTAGAGTGTCTGCCTAGCTGCTGGAGTCCCCACTTCAGTCCCAGCACAGAAACTGCCACTGCTCCTCGCCTCACCCCTTTCCACACTTCATGGACCTGCTGGGAACAAAGCGGTGTCCATGAAAACAAAGTCCTGGCCCTCAAAGATGGACACTGTGGCCAGGTGCAGTGGCATGCCTGTAATCTCTGGAATTTGGGAGGCTGAGGCTGGAGGACTCTGAGCTCAAAGGACAGCTCTGCCCTGGCAACTGTTTTTTTGAAATGGGCTCTTTCTGTCTCTTCCCCTCCCCTGCTCCTCCCTAATCTCCCCCCTCCCTAATCTCTCCCCTCCCTAATCTCAGGGAAACAGGATCACCTTCCTTCTCCATTTGAGGCTCATTTAGCTCTCCCTGAGCACACACCCACCACAGGAACCCAGTAATGCAGACTTGGGGGAAAGGTCTCAGAAATGCCTCTCTCTCACATTGACAGGTGAATCCCAGCTCCAACAGGGAGCCCCTGGAATGGAGCCTTTGAGTCACCTCTTAAAAAGCCCCCTGTTCCTGTGGATGGGCAGAATCCCAGCCTCTGGGACAGGAGTGTCCCCTGTGTTTCTTTGCTCCCAAAGCAATAAACCTTCTTTTCCCTTTTTCTCCAAACTGTCCTCATTATTGGATTGACATGGGACAAGGACTGGCCCTCGGCAACACAGAGAGTCAGAGACCATTTGGAATAGCTGGTGGGGGAGGCATTCCTTCAAATCCTTCCTCATGGCCCCATTTCCAAATGCCAGTGGATGGAGGGAGGTCCTCTGGCTGGAATCTGCTGGAGCAAAACAGGTAAGAACCAAGTTGGCAGAAATGTTGCCAGAAGGAAGCAACTAACCCTTTTTCTCTTTTTCTTTTGCTACAGGGCCCTGAACCCAGGGGTGCTTTACCACTGAGCCACATCCTCAGCCCTTCCTGTTTTTTACTTTGAGACAGGGTCTCTCTAAATTGCTTAGGGCCTTGCTAAATTGCTGAGCTTGGCCTGCAACTTGAACCCCAGAGCCCCCTGCATTGCTGGATTACAGTGTGTGTCAAACAGCTTCAGTCTCAAAGGAGATAGGGGTTTCAGATACCCAGAGATCTGCTGCATCTTAAAGGAAATACCCCAAAGACATTGAAATGCAGGAAGCACCCAGGAGCCATTATAGCCCCTGAGTGACCAGACCTCCCCCCCCCCCAACCTGAGGGCAGGTGAAACTCAGGGAAACCAGTATAAAATTGTGCAGCGCCACCCCGCCTCCACCTGGGTCCAGCCCCTCACACTGGCCTCTGCAAATATGAACACCCACACCACGGGCTGCCCTCTCTCCCTGGAGGTGGCCATTCTCCCCTGAGAGCCCATTCCTTGTCTTCTCCAAAGGCGACCCTCTTGAGAATGCCCCCATCCTCCCTTGAATGAACCTGAACTTCCCAGATAAACCTCCCTCTCTGCCTTTGCCTGGTGTGTGCTGAGATTCTGGGGGGGGGGGGGGTGCTGGGTTCTCTTTCAGAGCCAAGGGCAAGATCCACACTGATTGATCAGTGAAAGGGTGTTTCTTTCTTGGCTAAGAAGAGAGTGGGAGATGAACATGTCATCAGCCCTCACCCTGGAAAGGGGGGAAGGATGTAGCCAAAGGGGGAGGGAAAGCAATAAAGGGGAGGAATATCTGCATTTTATTTTAATGAGGTGGGAGGTCACCTGGGGTCACTGGCCAGACACAGATAGGACTGGTTTCAGTCTGCACACCTGAACAGGGACTCCTGGCCCAGGTAGCCTGACCTCAAAGACAAGCCAGGTGCAGGTGGGGTAAAAACGCCACTGGGCTGGGCTGGGGATGTGGCTCAAGTGGTAGCACGCTTGCCTGGCATGCGTGCGGCCCAGGTTCGATCCTCAGCACCACATACAAACAAAGATGTTGTGTCCGTCAAAAACTAAAAATAAAATATTAAAAAATTCTCTCTCTCTCACTCTAAAAAAAAAAAAATGCCACTGGGCCATCCAGGTAGCTTCTGTGTTTCCCAGACTGCAATCCCAATTAGCCCCCAGGGAATGCAATATCCATTCTTTTAGACTTCTCTGATTTTATTCTTGGTTGACATCACCAAAAGTTCTGTGTGCATAAGTGATGCCTGCGCCTTCTCCCCAGCAGTTCAGGTGACTTCTTTTTTTTCTCTCTCTTTTTGGTACTGGGGATTGAACCCAGGGGCACTCGCCCACTGAGCCCATCCCCAGCCCTAGTTTGTGTTTTATTTAGAGATGGGGTCTCACTGAGTTGCTTAGTGCCTCGCTTTTGCTGAGGCTGCCTTTGAACTCCAAAATCCTCCTGCCTCAGCCTCCAGAGCCGCTGGGATTACAGGCCTGAGCCACTGGGCAAGGCTGCCCAGGTCAAGTCTATTCCACACCCTCCCCCAGAACTTTTTTGTTGGCACTGGGGATGGAGCCCAGGGCCCTGGACCTGCCAGGAAAGTGCTCTATCACTGAGCCACTCCAGAACCCCCATTCATCTCTGGGTGAACACAGGGGTTTCCCTACCCTTTGGTCTTATGCATAATGCTGCTATGAACCCAGTGTGGTGGCGCACACCTGAAATCCCAGAGGTTTGGGAGGCTGGAGCAGGAGGATCACAGATTTGAAACCAGCCTCAGCAACTTAGTGAGGTCCTAAGCAACTCCATGAGACCCTGTCTCTAACTCAAATTTTAAAAAAGGAGGGGGCACTGGGGATGTGTCCAGTTACTAAGTGCCCCTGGGTTCAATCCCCAATGGAAGAAAAGATGCTTTTGTGAGCATAGGTGTAATGTGATTGCTTTTGGTTTTACATTGGAGATATTTCCTAGAAGTGGAAGTGAGTTACGATAGAAGAAACAAAAAGTAAGCTGGATTCTCAAAAATCTGCTGAACTTGGTCTCCTCATGAAAGCCTTATGCATGTGACTAAGGTCAACCCAGTGGGAAGTGCAGCTCAATTTTGTTCAGTTTCTCAGGCTCCTGAGCATTGTATTCAAAGCAGAGATGTGACACCACAGGGCAGTGCCATTAAATGGAGCATCACTGCTTCCCTGGGGCAAGGACAACCTCAGGCCTCCTCTGCCTCCCTGCCCTGCTCTGATGAAACACCACCTTCTCTCCAAGGGGAACTTGGGTAAATTCTGCAGGTTCCTGGAAAAGGAAAATTGTGCAGATCTTGAAAAACCGGCCTCTGCCTCAGAGCAAAGCCTTCCAAGGAAGGGACATGACCTTTTTCCTTGGAAAGACCCACAGAGCACTCCTAGGCACATTCCCACCCTGCTGAGTTGTTTATCTACAAATAACAGGAGAGATCTGCTGTGCCAGGTGTCCCTGACTCAGGCTAGGTGGGGACCCATAGCATCCCCCTAGCAGCCACCAATCAGCATGAGACAGGGAAATACCTGGGATGCCAGATGACCCTCCCAGTGGTTTATGATGTTGGGAAAACATGTAGTTCAGCATGAACACCCCCTTGGCTTAAACCAATCAGTTCAAATGAATCCCCCTCTTGTAGTAACCTATCACCCTTACCCAACTTGTTCCCACCAGTGAATGTGCTAATCATGTTTTAGAGTTGTTATTTGATTTTTCCTGTGGTGTGTGATGATTTGCTAAGAGATGCTATGATGTATGTGGAGATCCCTGCCTTCCCCAAAGAGTGTATAAAACTGCTGCAAGCCCTGGGCTTGGGGCCTCTCAGTGTCACCAGCTGCTGTGTGTGCACGCGGAGGAAACTCGCAATAAACACCTGTTTGCTGCTTACATCGATCTTGGTCTCTGGTGGTCTTTTGGGGGTCCTGAATTCGAGCATAACAACCTGTGCAAATTCTGTGGATCCTTTTTGTCTGTGCAGAGGTTATAGAGTTTATTTGTTTGAGATTATATAGTTTAGTGGTGTGAAAGAGAATAGAAAAGCCATCAGAGTCCTTTTCCATGTGACATTGTTCATGTTGGTTTTTCTACATATGTGAGCGTTTTAAATAGAAAAGGAGAGAGCTCTGAGTTCTATGGGAAGTCAGTGTCCTTAGGAGACTGTCCTTGCTTCCTTGCACATTAGGACCCCCAGAACCTAGAGATTCCCCGGGGAAAAAGGATTCTGAGCAGTGGTGACAACTTCAGCTTTGCACAGCGTAAGTGGGGGACAATAACTAAGGGGGACACTCGCAGCTCTGGAGGAAGCCACATACCATTCGAATCTAAGAGTACCATATTAGCTTCCTGTGGCTGCCATAACCAATGACCACAAACCCAGGGACTTCAAACAACAGGTCCTTACTGCTGCCCCCTCCACAGTCCAGAATCAAGGTGCCAGGTGCTCCAGGGTGGATGCTCTAGAGCAGAATCTGTCCTGGACTCTCCCATGGCCCAGTGGCTTCAGAAATTCCTTAACATGCCTGCGTCCCCTCGGGCTTTGCCTGCATCTTCACAAGGACTTCTTCGTCTGTGTGTCTTCTGTCCCTCACAAAGACATTTGTCATTGAATTTAGGGACACCAGGGAATCCATCACCATCTCCTCTCAAGGTGTTCAACTTGATGACATCTGCAAAGACTCTTTCCCAAATGAGATCCCATTGGGAGGTTTCAGAGGTCAGGAGGAGGACACCTTTTGCTGACCCCCATTCCACACACTGTCAGCCATCTCTGGAGTGATCCTCTCTGGGTTCCAGTCCCAGGTCTGCCACTTGGCAGAGATCAGCGCATGGCTGAGTACAACCCTTAACCACTCTACGGCCCGGTGTTTCTCCCTCTAAAGTAAAGAACTAGATTGGTCCTGAGCATGCTGCCGCCATTTATAAAACGGATCATTGGCACATGTGTTAGGTGTTTTTTGTTTTATTTTTAGCTGTAGGTGGACACAATACCTTATTTCGCAGGACCTCACATGTGCTAGGCGAGTGCTCTACCGCTGAGCCACAACCCCAGCCCCACGTGTTAGTTTTTTGACGCTGTGAGCAAAATACATGACAAGAACAACCTAGAGGAATAAAAGTTTATTCTTGTTCACTGCTCCAGGGGTTCAGTCCGTGGTGGGCCGAGTCCACTGCTATGGGCCCAGGGAAGCAGAACATCCTGGGGTAAGGGCTTGGGGCGGGGAGCCCTGCTCCGTTCACAACAGCCAGGAAGCAGAGGAGAGCAGATATTTCTTGGAATATTCCTAAAGTCAGTAGACGGCACGCTCGGGGCCTAGCGCCCTTTGGTGTCTAGTGTGGACACTGAAACCATTAGCCCTCGGAGTCCTCCACTCAGATTTTGGAGCAAGGAAAAACTAAGAAAAATCTGACTGAAACCTGAATTTGGAAACTTCCTGTACTCTATGATTTTTCAAGACATCTAAAAACATTCTGAAATATAAATCTTTTTCTAAGTGTTTGTTTCGTGTGTGTATTTTTTGAATGACCACTTCCTGCCAAGCACTCACCAGCAGATGGCCCCAGGATGCCCTTGAGCTGGGTTCACAATTGCTCAACACGAGGAACCTCTCGTCCACAGATCACAATGTTTATTTCTCCTTATCGGCCAATTCATTCCACTGCAAAGTTGGGAAAGTTAATGATTCTTTTGACTTTAAGACTGAATTCCATCTCCGCCATCTGCCACGACCTCTACAGCTGGGACCTAACGCCACGCGCACAGTCTGTCAGCATGTCAGAGGACGGTGTGTGGTTCGAAGGGATCCTTTTCCCGAATTTTTACCAAACTGAAAATTTAAGAACAGCATGTGAGAAGTTTGTGATGAAGGATGAAGACACAGTAATCGTGTCTTACCCCAAATCAGGTGAGGAAACAGGACAGGAACCGCCCATGAGAAAGGCCAGGGCGACGTTCCTCACCCACTCAGTAGAGGGACGGCCCGCGCTCTCCACGCCAGTGAGCGCTGCTTTGGGGAGAAAGGCGCAGTGCCCAGGACACTTCCATTCAGACCAGGACAGAGTGACATAAGTGCTCGGCAGAGATCATCAAAGGTACTGGAAGCCAATGTAGCAGTGAAGCCTAAGCAGATTCAGGCATTTGTGTGGTGGTATGGAGAAGGGGGTGGGAGAGGGCACCCTACACTTCCCTGGGGAATCTCTATGTTCTGGGCGTCTTGAGGTGCAAGGAAGCAAGGGCAGTGTCCCACACCAGTGACTTCCCAGCTCATATTACTATGAGCACATAATACGGAAATATCCGCTCAATAGAGATGAAAGTCGGAATGGAGTCACATGGTGGGTATTGCAGGGTAGGGGAGTCAGCACGGACAACAGCTGGGAATCGGCAAGGGTTTGGAAAATTCAAGGGACTGAAAGGACTCGCATTACACATCTATGTGAGGGGACTGGGGGCAGGAGAATTGCAAACTGGGTGAGCATTGAGGCCAATGGCCTTGGAAGGGGTACGGGTTGGAAAGTCAAGGGCAGTGGGAACATATTAAAAGGATCTCAGAAAAGAGCCCAAACAAAATGTGGTCGAGTGACACATGGAAGATTTTAGTTGTCAGCCTTGGAAAGGAAGAAAATTCTGACGCGTGTCCCAGGAGATAAGTCTTGAGGGCATCGTGCTAAATGAAATAAGTTCAGCACAGAAGGACGAGCGCCATAAAATGCAAACTACTAGTGTAGTCAAGTCCATGGCAACAGAGAACAGGATGGTGGTACAGGGGCAAGAGAAGAGGTGGGGGAGCTGCTGCTTCATGAGCAGAGTTTCCATTTTCCAAGATGAGAACGCTAAGGACCTTGGCTGAGCAACTTTGGGAATTGACACAACACTATGGAGCGCATGCTTTAAAGTGGTCATGAGCCAGGCACAGCGGCACATGCCTGGAATCCCAGCCACTCAGGAGGCTGAGGCAGGAGGATCACAAGTCCCAGGCAACTTAATGAGAATCTATCTCCAGGGTTTTGGTTTTTTTTTTTTTTGAGGGGGGGAGGGGAGGGTCTTTGTCTTGTTTTGTTTGCTTTTTTATTTTATTTTTTTTGATTAGTGGGGGTTGTTTGTTTGTAGTTTTGTTTTTAGATACTGGGGATTGAAACCAGGGGAACTTTACCACTGAGCTACATGCCCAGGATATTTTGAGATAGGCTCTTGCTAAGTTGCTTAGGGATTCTCTGATTCGCTAAGGCTGGCCTCAAACTTGCCATCCTTCTGCCTCAGCCTCCTGAGCTGCTGGGATTACAGGCTGCACCACCAACCCAACAAGGACCTGTCTCAAAGTGAAAAAATAAAGACGGCTGGGAATGGGGCTCCGCGGTATAGCGTCTCTGGGTGAAATTCCTAATACTGCAAAAAATAAGTCAATAAATAAAAATGTTAAATGGTTATCACAGAAAGCTCATCTATTTTACCATAATTTTTACTTCAAAGGTCACACTGAAAGGAGTGAACGTCACTTTTCCCTCTTTTCCAGGAACCCTATGGTTGATGGAAATTCTCTGCCTGATTCACTCACGCGGGGACCCCAAGTGGGTTCAATCAGTGCCCTTCTGGAAGCGCTCACCCTGGATAGAGAGAAGGGACACCGAGCAGTTAGACAGAGACTTGGAGGGCCCGCGCTTCTTCACCTCCCACCTTCCTTTCCACCTCTTCCCCAAGTCCTTCTTCACTTCCAAGGGCAAGGTCAGTGCCTGATGCTGTAGAAATGCTTGACGAATGCCTCTTAGACTTTAACCTGCCCCCAAAGCCCCAGAGATCCTGCTGGGGGTGCCTTCTCATTGGGCAGGAAGAGAGGGACTGGGACCCACGGGCATCCGGTGAGGCCCATGTTGCCACACCTAGAACCAAGCTTGAGGACAAGGACTGGAGGGCCCACAGGTTATTGGAGCCTGAGTTAAGGTGGAGCCAGGTGCAGTGGCTCACGTCTGTAACCCCAGAGCTCAGGAGGCTGAGGCAGGAGGATCAAGAGTTCAAAGCCAGCTTCAGCAACTTAGTGAGGGCCTAAGCAACTCAGCCAGACCCTGTGTCTAAATCAAATGTAAAAAAGGAATGGGGATGTGGCTCAGGGTTAAGTCCCTCTGGGTTCAATCCCCGGTACAAAAAAAAAAAAAGCTTGGTGTAAAACGACAAAAACCGAATCTTAGAAAATGACATTTTAGGTACAACCTTACATTTACAGCTGCATTATGTACTAGATTGCCCCACTTTTGCTGCCCTAACAGAGGAATAGTAAGTCTCCTGCCTCATAGTGAAGTCAGCTGGTCATATCAGCTGCGGGAGCCCAGGTGGCTCTGGAGGCCTGGCCACTCTCTCTAAGGATGGCCACCTGCTGCACAGAGCAGGGGCCTGCGTCCACCAGCGCGTGAGCCTCCCTGGGGCTTAGAGCTGATCAGAAGGACCAGGGAGAGCCAGGGTCCCAGCCACTGCGTGCTGTTTTTGGAAACAGTTTGCTGGAAGGTATTCATTTGTGTATGATTTTTTTTTAATTTCTATACTTAAACTACATCTGGAAACATCACCTCAGAATCTCCTCTGTTGGCCGGGCACAGTGACTCTCAGCTGTAATCTCAGCGGCTTGGGAGGCTGAGGCAGGAGGATCACAAATTCAAGGCCAGTCTCAGTGATCTAGCAAGGCCCTAAGCAACTCAGTGAGAACTTATCTCAAAATGAAAAAATTAAAAGGAAGGGGATGTGGCTCAGTGCTCTTGAGGGAAATCCCCAGCATGAAAATCATCCTCATCGTCATCTCCTCTCTTGGAAATGTCATGTGGGTGCAGCAACAATGAATTTGTCCCCTTACAACTATCTGCAGGTGTCTATGTGAGTCTGGCAAATAAATCACTGGCTGGGAAACGGAGGCCTTGAATAATGCACAGGAGAGTTGGTGCAAAACGAAAAGCAAAATTCTGATATTCAAACTCCAAGTGATCCTGCCCGAGTGTGTGTGTGGGGTGTGTGTGTGTGTGTGTCTTTGTGTGTGTGTGTGTGTGTGAATCTCAAACACTATCTCAGGTATGGGGCTGGGGCTCAGTGGTAGAGCACTTGCCTAACATGTGAGGCACTGGGTTCCATCCTCAGCACCACATAAAAATAAAGGCACCATGTCCATCTACAAAAATAATTATCTGGATGATACGTACACAACTGGGTTACCATCTTCCTGATAGGATGAGAACACTTCTACTTTCCAGAAAGTCTACTGTTGCAGCAAGTAACCATCTTCCAGATGAGAGTTGTTCCAGAAAGTTCTACCATTCCAGAAAGTTCCCTCATGCCCACTCAGTCAGTGCCCACCCACAAAGGCAAATACCATGCTTAATTACAGCTGTAAATTAGTTTTATTTTGCTGTGTTTTTCTGCCAGAGATTGAACCCAAGGGCACTTAACCACTGAGCCACATCCACAGCCATTTTTATTTTTTATTTGGAGACAGGGTCTTGCTAAGTTGCTTCGGGCCACACTACATTGGTGGGACTGGCTTCAAACTTGTGATCTTCCTACCTAAAGCCCCCAAGCCACAGGGACTGCGGGACTGCACACCAAGCCCAGGTGTGGACTAGTTCTGGTTGTTCTTTATTCCCGCACATGGACTCAGGCTGTGAGCACCTAGGTATCTGGATTCATTCGCCCAATGGAATGTGTGTCGTGGGTGGGGAACGACTGTATATTGTATGTCTATAAATATGCCATGACTTATCCATCACCCCATTGGTGATCCTTAGAGCACACACACTTCTCATGGTAAGAAGGAATGTACCAGGGGTTCCTCTTGCCTTTGTCCATCCGGCCACTGTGATATTTCCTAGGAACCTTCACCTGCATGTCCCTTTAATGACTGTGGTCACTGAGATCATCAAATCAGCCAGGCACGCGAGCACACACTGGTGAGCCCAGCAACCCAGGACGCAGGCAGGAAGACTGCAGGTTTAAGGCGGCCTCTGCAATCTAGGGAGACCCTGTCTCAAAAATAAAAATGGCAGGTAGCTTCACTCAGCACACTGCTGTGTTAAATTTCCAGACACACACGAAAATATTTCATTCATATTTAGGAGACATTTAATGCAAATTAAAGCTCAAGATTAAAGGTAAAATCTGGGCGTGTTAGTGCACACCTGTAACCCCAGCAGCTCAGGAGGCTGAGGTAGGAGGATCGCCAGTTCAAAGCCCTCCTCAGCAACTTAGTGAGACACTAAGCAACTCAGTGAGACCCTGTCTCGAAATAAAAACCAAACAGGGGGGTGCTGGGGATGTGGCTCCGTGGTTAAGCACCCCTGAGTTCAATCCCTGGTACCCAAATAAATAAATAAAGGTAAAGATCAAAAAAGGTGGAAATGACAGTATCAACTGTTCATTCTCTCCTGTTTCCATTTAAGGTGATTTATATCATCAGAAATCCCAGAGATGCTCTTGTGTCTGGCTATTTTTTCTGGAGCAGGACCAACTTTGTTAAGAGTCCAGACTCACTGGAACAGTTCTTTGAACAGTTCATCCAAGGAAATGGTGAGTGTCCTCCACGCACAGAAGCTGGGGTGCACAGGGTCCCCATTCAGACCTCTCTTGGCCCCAACCCGCGGCCCTGTATCTCGCCTCCTGTGGATGCACCGCCCATCACCCCCGAAACCAGACCTGCCCAGGTTCCTGCTCTGCTGCCCACCAGCACAGCCCAGCCCTCCCGCTGCCCGTGGGGAACCGCCTGGCTGTCCTCCCCTGAGTTCCCGGCACTGACCCTCTTCTCACGCTCTTCTCTCAGCTCTCCCTGATTTGGGACTTTCTGAAAGTCAGCTTGTCCTTGTCTTCCTGAAAAATGAAATCCTGACCTTCCAGCATTCTTTGGAAAAGCCGTTTCTTTTCAAAGCTCCCTTTGTCCTCTTTTCCTTTCTGCTTCACAATTTGCTGAGTAATCCGGGAGAAGTAGCACACACCTGTGATCGCAGTGGCTCAGGAGGCTGAGGCAGGAGGATTGCAAGTTCAAGGCCAGCCTCACCAACTCAGGCCCTAAGCAACTCGGTGAGGCTAACTTGGTGAGAACTGTCTCAGAATTTTAAAATATTAAAACGGGGCTGGGGGTGTGGCCCAGTGATTATGCGCCCCAGGTTCAATCCCTGGTACCAAGAACAAGTCTCAGTGGCTTTGGGAGTTCTGTGCTCTCTGGGAGCAGAGGTTTGGTGCTTTCAGTTTTGCAGTGTCTCTCACGCTGTGTGAAAAGCCCACATCCCCACTGCGAGGGCCTCGCAAGCCCGCAGCCCCAAGACAGCTCCCTAGGGAGCACCACAGGCATCTAAGTCCCTGTGTCCACCAGGAGCTCCACAGGCACCTAAGCCAGTGTGTCCACTAGGGGGCGCCACAGGCACCGAAGCCCTGTGTCCACCCCTGAGCACATCTTCCCCACACCCCGAACTCGCCGCCTCCCATTCTTCCTGATCAGGCAGCAGAACCAGCCACCTGCGAGGCCCAGCTCCACCCTACTGCACGGTGTCCTCTCTTGGCCACCCCTGCCTCATGCCCCTGGCCACCTTCCCTTATCTAACTCGAAACCAAGTCCCAGAACCTCGATGGAGCCCTGTGTTGTCACCAGTCGGGGATCTTTCCTTCCTATCAAGGCAACATCCACCCCCAGCTCCACTCATATCTATTTGCTCCCTTCCTTGGTCCTTGTCACCAACAGGCGCCTATTTAGTTCCTTATCCCTGAGCCTCACACTACAACCCCAGCACCTCCAGAGCTCATGGTTGGTCCCCAGGTATTGGGATGGCTCTTGTCCCATGGCAGGTGTCTCGTCGCCCTTGTTAAATAACAGTATCCACTAGCCATCCCTTCCACAGCCACACTGCTGCTCCTCACCTGGATCCTGGTGGCCTCCCCGCTGGGCTTCCCCTGCATGCCACACTGCAGTCACCTGCCACACACTGCACACTTGACCTTCTCCTTACACCTCCATCCCCGTCCTCAGCATAAAGTGCTGTCTGAGCAGCGCGGCCCCCAGCTGAAGGCTTCAGGCCTCCTTTCTGCCTCGCCCAGCCTCCCCTTCAGAAGAAGGGGGCAGTGAAGCCACATGATGGACATCAGGGAGCCCCCCTCACTAGTGGTGTATTTGATCCTGCCATTGGTGTCTAGAAAAGTCTGGATTGTGCTTCAGAGGTCCCCAGGAATCTTACAAAATGGAATCAGTGGTGGTGGGTGATGATGCCATCACCTGCAACCCCACCCTTGCCCCCATCTCCCTTGAACTCCTGCACAGGCCTCTTTCTTGCTTATCCAGTTGTATTAGTCAGCTTTTCATTACTGTATCAAAATCCCCAAGGCAGACTACTTTAAAATGAAAAGGGTTTATGTGGGCTCACAGTTCCAGAAGTACAATATCCAAAGAGCATGGCATGGGCACCGGTGAGGGGCCCCTGGGCTGCCTCTCATCCTGAGGAGAGTGCTCCTGTATCTCTGTGTGCTCTCTCTTCCCCTCCTTACAAAGCCATAAGAGGCTGGGCACTGTGGTGCATGTCTGTAATCCCAGCTACCTGGGAGGACGAGGCAGGAGGATCCCCAGTTAGAGGCCAGCCTCAGCAACTTAGCCAGACCCTGTCTCAATAAAAAGGACTGGGGTGAAGCTCAGTGGTAGAGTGACCCACGGTTCAATCCCCAGTGCCATAAAAATGAAGAAGGGGGGGTTGAAAAGCCACAGGGATCCATCAGGACCCATGACTCTAGTGACCTAAACAGATCACTTCCCAAGGTCACGCCTTTGTACACGGCCAGCTGCACTTGTCCCTCTTAATACCCTGAGTTTAACTTCCAGGATTAGACTCCTGTCTGAGTTTGGGGCATCAATCCACATTCAGAACATAGCACCAACCGGGAGCTCAAAAAAATATAGTAAAACCACTGAGGCGTCTACCCCATATTTATGCAGATTTACCCACTCGATTCCCAATTTGGTGGCCTCTGGGGCAGGCTGACACTGTTCCTTCCTCCTGGGTGCCACCAGCAGAAGGGAGAGATGTTCTGTGGCCCTGAAAAAGCTTCTTTTCTGAGGCCACCAAATTCCAGACCCCACCTCCACTGCTGAGAGAGGCCCCAGGGGTCTGCTCCTGTCATTCTGTGACCTCTGTCACCACAGGAGCCACAGGAAGCAAGCCAGGGACGCCAGAAGCAGGGAAACGGAGTTCACACCTGAAAGACGTTGGCCCGAGTCTTAGATGAAGCCTTGAACTTGAACTCTTGAGTGTGCTGGACAGTTGGGACTTCAGGCCTGTGGGGAGGACAGGCAAGCCTTGAGGCCCAGGGCAGAACGCTGTGGTTTGGATATGGCTGAAATGTCCCCCCCCCCCCCCGTGGCCATGTGTCATGAGCTTAGCACCAGGGTGACAACATTGGGAGGGGCAGGAACCTGTCAGAGGTGACAGTGGGAGAGGCCCTGCCCTCAGGAGGAATCGGGATGCTCCTGGAGAGAGCCGCCCTCCAAGCTCCCTCTGGTCCTGGAGGAGAGGTGGCTTCCCCTCTTGTGCATGGTCCTTCCCGTGGCACAAGCCACGAGGCTGCCTAGCCACCAGCGATGGCCAACCATGGGCGGGCAAGGTGAAGACTAGGCCAATCATCTGGATCCCAACATTTCACTGTGTGCATGCATGTATGTGTGCAGGCATGTGTGTGCATGTGCGTGTGCGCATGTGTATGTGTGCAGGCATGTGTGTTCATACATATGTGTGCATGTGTGTGCGCACCTGTGTGTGCATGCATGTGTGTTCATGTGTGTGTGTGCATGTGCGTGTGTGCCTGTGTGTGTGCCTGTTCATGTGTGCCTGTGTGTGCTTGTGCGTGTGTGCCTATGCATGTCTGTGTGCATACATGTGTGTGCATGTGTGTGTGTGCATGTTAGTGTGGGCATGCATGTGTGTTTGTGCGTGTGTATGCATGTGTGCCTATGTGTGCTTGCATGTATGTTCATGTGTGTGTGCATGCATGTGTGTGTGTGTGTGTGTGTATGTGTGTAGGGCAGTGGAGACTCAAGAGCTAATCCCACTGTTAGAGACCTCCCTGAGGCTAATCTTTGTCAGAGCCACTGAGGAAGGTAGATGTAGAGGGAGTGGTGACCTTGGTAAGAGAGGAAACCCTGGACGCTGTAAGTACATAGGCGTGTCATCTGTGAGCTGTATCCTAACCAGCCTGGCAGGGGCTGGGGGGGAGTGTAGCTTCTCTGCTCTCCTGGAGTGTGTGACCTGCCCCCCTGTGCCCTCCCCGCAGTGCCCTATGGATCATGGTTTGAGCACATTCGTGGCTGGATGTCCGTGAGACACAGGGAGAACGTCCTGCTGCTGAGTTATGAGGAACTGCAGAAGGTGAGCCCCATTATGGCCAGCGCCTGCCCGCGCCCCAACATCCTCACTCCCCCTGACGTCCCTGGTCCTCAGTTTCTCCCCTCCACGCTCCCTGTCCAAGCAGAGCCTCTCAGGGGTCACAAGAGTGAGATGAGCCCTGGGCCTCCATCGCCCTGCTCTGTTTGACCCTCCCCAAGCTCCGGCTCCCTCCCCACGTCTTCCAGTTCACTTCCTCTTGCACCATCCACAGGGCCCTCCTGTGCCTGGCCTGCACCCCATGGGGTTCAGGTTTTCCTGGGAGCACGAGGTACAATGCTGCTGAGGACCCAGTGTTGAGAGGGGCGGGTGGGAACGGTTTCCTCCCCGAGGTGTGTCCAGCTGTCCAACTGTCCGTCATCTCTGCTGCCTGAGACAGGACAGAGTCGGGGCTCAGTGTCAATAAGCATTGGACACGCCCAGAACTAGACGTGCCAAAGGTACCACGGGTGCTCAAAACTGGAAGGAGGGACTGGGGCTCCTTGGAGAGCAGAACCAGAGCCTGCTGTCCCGCAGCCCAGGGGACAACGAGGGGCAACGAGGGCTCAGGCCTTTCCAATCAGCTAATAGGAAGTTGAAGGCGCCCACACGGACTGGTGACCTAGTCTGAGGTGTAGACATGCCGGGGCCCTGGTTCTGGTCGTGGCACATTGTAGCGACATCGTAGATACGTGCAGTTGCTCTGTGGGAGTCAATTAATTATGAATGGGATTAATGTGAATTAGAAATTTCAAAATTTTCTGATTTTTTGGAATTTTTAAAGAAAGTATGAAAAAATACAACCCTAATAGCGACTGGACCATTAGAAAAGAACTTGACCTTTAGTGGAAACAGACAAAAGAGGGAGGCAGAGACACAGGTGTTTCCCTCCCCTGAGACACCCCGCCTGCCACAGGGCCTGCTGCAGGGCCCTCCTGGGCCAGGAAGCCTTGGCCGAGCTCAGAGGCCTCGGCCCCAGCTCCAGAGCAAGCCCCCGCCCCCCTGCACTTCTCCCCCAACTCAGAGAGAACTTGTGAGTCACTGCCACAGCCACGCACCTTCTTGTTAGATGGTAACTGGGGCCCATGGAACAAAAATGATAATAAAAGCACGGTAGTCCTGAGAAGAAGGTCGTCCATCCCAAGCACATCATTTCTTGTTATAAAAATCCCTTTCCTCAAGCTGGGTGTCGTTGTGCACACCTGTGATCCCAGTGACTCGGGAGGCCAAGGCAGGAGGATCACAAGTTCAAGGCCAGCCTCAGCAACTTGGCAAGACCCTGTCTCAAAATTGAAAAAAATAAATAAAAACATAAATGGGATGCAGCCCACTGGGAAACCACCCCTGGTTCAGTCCCCAGTAGCACAATGAACACATAAATATACAAAGCTGTGTTCCAATAAAACTGCTAGATATAGAGAAGAAACCCCAGGCCCTGTCTTGGAGGTGTCAAAATAAAAAAAATAAAAAAGGAAACCCACGTCTGTCCTCACCTCACCTCCTACACATCCCTCATGCCCGCTCTGCTTGGCCTCTTTCCTTTTTTTTTCTTCTTATATTCAACTCAATCCTCTTTCACGTCTGTTTTTCTTTTATAATGTTTATTATTTTTAGTTATAGGTGGACACAATGTCTTCATTTTACTTTTATGTGGTGCTGAGGATCGAACCCAGTGCCTCATGGATGACAGGCGAGCGCTCCACCCCTGAGCCACAACCCCAGCCCTCACTTCTGTTTTTTGAAGGATTTTTTTGGTGGGGGTGTGGGGTACTGGGGATTGAACCCAGTGGCACTTAACCCCTGAGCCACATCCCCAGCCCTTTTTTATATTTTATTTTGAGACAGGATCTCACTGAGTTGCGTAGGATTTTATCAAGGTGTGGCTGGCCTCCAACCTGTGATCCTCTGGCCTCAGCCTCCAGAGACTCTGGGACCTCAGGCTGACCCACTCCACCTGGTCCTTGCTCACTTCCAGATCATGGTCCTCTCTTTCTTCCTGCTTCTCTGTCTCCTCGTTCTACAGCCCCTCCTCTCCTTCTCGCTTTTGTCTCGCTCTTTCCCATCCTCACACGGGGTTTTTTCCCCTTAGAACCCAAGAAGCACCATAGAGAGGATCTGTCAGTTCCTGGGGAAGAAGCTGAGTCCAGAAGAACTGGACTCCGTCCTCAAGAACAGCTCCTTCCAAGTCATGAAACAAAACAAGATGTCCAACCTTGCTGTCCTTCCTGAGGAGCTCATGAACACCGGGTTCTTAGTTACAAGAAAAGGTAAAAGGAAGGGCTCTGACCTGGGAATGCGGGAGGACTGGAGGCCGTGCCCACTCACCAGAGGGGACTGCGCCACCAACCCTGACTCCTGGCGCCCAGGCGCTTGGGGGAAGCTGAGAGGGCCTGGGAGGGGCAGGCGGCATTGCGTCCTGCCTGGGCGGGCCACTGTGACAGCAGAGAGAGCTGCTGCCCTCCCGGACCTCCCACACCTACCACAACCCCAAGCCCAGCCCCAGAGAATCTCCCCTGGTGCTGATACCCTGGTAGACAGGAGCCACCATTGTCCCATTAGTCAGCTTGGCATGGGCCACCAAGGACCTGAGACTTTCCAGGAGGAAGGGTTTGTTTGGGGCTGGGGGCTGCTCCGCTCCTGGTGGTCTGAGTGGACAGAGAGGGAGACCAGAGCCACAGGGACCCATGTGGCCCTCAGGGCCTGCCCAATGGCCCATCCCTCCCACCAGATCCACATCCTCCAGGCTCCACCCAAGGTGCCTCCCAGCGGCCAAGGTCGTCACCCTCTGGCTTCGGTGGCACTTCCACACCTCAGCTGTCGTATTTTCCCCAGGCAATCCTGGTTATTATTACCTCTAGTTATTACTGTCAGCCCTGGAACCACTGTATTATTGGATATTTCTGCACATTCCTGTCTCTGGTTATTACACATCACAGAATAGGCACTTTACAACGATTTTTGCTAAATCAACAGAAAGACATATTAATCAAAGCATACGCTGACTTTTTAAGTTAAAGTGCAGTCACCAGCATGGGTAGAGACACTTTACCCACCGCATTATAACATCCAAACTTCCCTTGATCAGAATATCAAAATCTCTCAAGTCATTAACACAGAAGAGTAAACACGATAAAGAGACCCTGAGCTCAGTGGGTTTCCTGAAAACATCACACCATTGTCACATCACAGTCAGTGTCGGCTCCGGCCCCCAGGACCTCAGAACGCGGTTGCCTCTGGAGACAGGGCCTTTCCCAGGTGTCTGGGTCAAAAGGAGGCCATTACACTGGCCACGGGCCACTGTGACTCGTGCCTGCAAAAGAGGACATTTAGACAGAGACATGGAAGGAGGTCAATCTGAAGACCCAGGAAGAAGACAACCATCTCCCCAGCAAGAAGAAAGGCCTGGAACAAATCCTCCCAGAAACCCTCAGAAGGAAGCTTCCAGAACCTTCGTCCAGACTTCCAGCCTCCACTCCTTGAGGAGCACCCCACCCTGTGGCTATGGCAGCCCTCGCCCAAGAATTTGGAGTAAGACTTCTGACCGCTGAGGATTGAGGAAAAACAGAAATTGATACCTGCAGGATACGCAGGATTTCAAATTAGCATTGGTCAGACACGTGGGGCACAGGAGGAGAAATACGGGGTTCTCCTCTGACTGACCAGCACAGTGAGACGAAGGAAAAGTAACCCGCGGAGTCGTCCAACCACCAGTGAGCAGACCCCGAGCAGCCGGCCCCAGCAGCCCACTCCTCATCCTGCTCCGGGATCAGCAGGCGCCCTGCGTCCAGCGAGCAGGAGCCTCGCCACAACACGCAGGTGCTTCCCCCGCTGATGTCCAACTTCCCTCCTGGATCAGAGCTTTCCTGGAAGGTTCTGTTTGCAGCACTGAGATAAGCGCCGGCTGTGTGCAGCACGTGTGGCTTGGAACTTTCCTTCACCCTGTTTCCTCACAAGGTCTATCGTGGCAAAGCGTTCACAGGTACAAGCCAGGGTGGAGTCACGCCCCGCAGTCACCTTGTGGTGAAGTCCTGGGGCCTGCCGTTTCAGGGTGGGAAGCCATACATACTATATTTACCAAAATTCTAGGAAGGAGGGCCTCGTTCTGGATCACCAGTAGCCAGTCATGTTCTGGGCAGCACATGAGCAGAGAAAATCCACAAAAACTCTCCTAAGGCTGGAGCTGGGGCTCTAGAGCGCTTGCCTAGCACGTGGGAGGCACTGGGTTCCATTCTCAGCACCGCAGTGAATAAATAAAATAAAGTCCATTGACCACTAAAAAAAACAACTATTCTAACCATGAAGATAACGATGAACACGAGAGTAACATCTACAGGATACCAGGTACATACCAGACCTCTGCCCTGTTATTCATATCCATTCGAGTTGAGTTATGCTGTTTGTATTTACATGATCTATATCAATTAATAGACTAGTGTGCAGTCTAAAGGTCACACTAATTTAACTAACATGTTGCCCTACCACTTCCAAATTAACTTATGGGATACGTAAAATAATGCTGTGCTCAGGACTTCCCCATCAACATGGGGGACGTACTTTCTGCGTCCATCGCTTTCTCGCTGGGCTGCCCACCCAGGACTTTCTTTTCTCACCTGTAAAATGGCCACATTGTTAGTACACTCCTTGTTTTTCCATAAATCCCTTCAGTCATTATTTATTGAGTATATACAATATGTCTGCACTCTTTGAAACACGAAGTCTTAGGCATTTTTTTAAGAATGTTGATTTCCTGAGATGTTAGAAATCCATACCATATGCACACACGAGCCACATGCAGAGCAGGTCCATCTTGATCACTGCTGTGAGTAAATAAGGATGGAGACGAACGACTCTAAACTGGTGATGAGAGACCTCACTTGGAAGGTTGCCTTGGAGTCGAGACTTGAATGAGGCCAACGGATGGGATGACGAGACGTGAGTCTCTGCTAGGAGAGCCCCGAGGAGGAGGGAGGAGACATGCGGCTGAGGAGAGGGAAGCCTGTCACGTGTGAGGCTGAGCCAGAGAACCAGGTGACAGGCAAGTGGAGAGTCACAAGGGACGGCGAGGGAAACCACAAGGGACCCGTCACCTAGAGTCACACCCAGGTTGGGGGAGATGGAGCAGGAAGGGGCTGGATCCCTGGACCTGGAGAGAGATCACAGTGGCTGCCGTGCTGGGGAGAACTCGCAAAGGTGAGCAGTCAGAGCCCAGGGACCTCTCACAATCTACTGCGGTCATCCAGGTCGGAAATGCCGTGGGCTTGACCAAAGGTGGTGGCAATGGCAGTAGTGAGAAGCAGATAGGTTCCAGATGTATCAGAAGATGTGGCTGCCATCATTAAGGGCGCATAGTGTGTGGGCTGGGCCAGGAGAGACAAGAGGGAAGGCAGGAAATCATTTCCAGGTGGGTAAAGTATGAAAGGGTGTGATGGTCAGGTGGCTCCCCGGTGAGCCCTGGACGCTCTGCTGTTACCCCAGTGTCCTTCCCAGGTGATGGCAAGACACATCAGGGAGATGTGCTGGGGTCAGACCTGTGGGTAGCTCTCATCTGAGTCTCTGCTTTGTGTTTGCCAGGCACCTGTGGGGACTGGAAGAATCACTTCACGGTGGCCCAAGGTGAAGCCTTTGATAAGCTGTACCAGGAGAAGATGAAAGGTTTTCCTGGGGGGCTGTTCCCCTGGGAATAATGTCTGAAAACTTCCAGATCTCACCTGGTTCCCTGCTTCATCTCCTGTCCCTGCACCTGTACCTCATGGGGGTTCGTGGCATAAATCCTATGGCTCGAGTTATCAAATTAAAGAGGTGGAAACTCACACCCCTCCAGGGAAAAAGGAAACTGGGGACTCTGAACCCTCACATTGTCCCTTATCTATCATCCTTCCTCTGGTTGCTCAAGGACTCCCTCCTGCTGCAGCTAAAAAATCTCCTGCTATGACTCAGCCCACATCCCCCTGCCCACCCAAAGCCCATCAAGAGTAGCTACCTCCTCCCAAAGACCTGACTCTGCTAAAACCCTATAGACCCACAGCCTCGTTGTGGCTGCCGCGCTTCCCCTTGAAAATGTCCCTGGCCGCCAAGGTCACCTCCATTTCTTTTTCTTTGTGTATTCTCTTTCGTTTTGCTTTCACAGAACTTTGCTTCTTTAACCACCTGCTTGTTCAAAGGTACCAGGTTCCCTATTCACCTCCTGGCACACTCGGGTTTTTAAAAACTCTTTGTGATATTACAAATGTCCAGAAGGCTACAGAAAACTAGAAATCTTACAGTGCTGTCAAATTTGTTTTCTGCTGTTAAATAGCGATGGCTTTTCCCTTACAAGGTCATCCTCGTGTCTTAGGTGTCCACACTGAAGGCTTGGGGTCTGAGGGGTCATGCTTGTCTCGTAGGTGTGTTGTGAGGGTGTGAGCAAGTCGTCTCATCTAGGGGTCTGTCAGGAGTTAAGGCTGAACATTGACTACATCCAGGATCCCAATGTTGAGAAATGAGGGCTGGCACCCCGCAGAGTACCTGGTGCTAAGGAGATTCCTCAAAGCACTAGGAATGGAACCGACCCAGGGAGCCCACTCCTTGGCATTTGTTCAATGTGCTACAGTGTTCCACGCCCAACAGCCGAGTTGGGAACAGCCCGGGAGTCTGTCAGCAGATGAGTGGGAAAGAAAATTTGATCCTGACAAAATTATGGGGGGGAGTGTATTGAGGTTTGCAGTTTCAGAAGTCTCGGTCCATAGATGGCAGATTCTGTTCCTCTGGGCCAGAGGGGAGGCAGACATCATGGCAGAGGGCAAGGAAGAGGAAAGAGGAAATCCCATCACAGGATGGATGCCCGGTCAGGCAAAGGCTGGACACTCTCGGGCTGCCTCACACACCAGCCTCTGGGGGTCACCTCCTATCTACACCAGAACAGTGGAGTTTTACCCAGCCTTAAGAAGAGAGAAAGGATGGCATGTGCTGGTGAACAGAAGGAACAGAAGGACAGCACCCGGAGAAATGGCCAGGCCAGGAGTCACAGGTGGGGATTTTCCTTCATATGCAAAAGCTAAAGAGAACAAACAGGAATTTTTAAAAAAGGAATATCATGGGAATGGAAGGGAAAGGAGTAGAGCAAAGGAGTGGGATTCAGGAGGGATCCCCGGGGGAAGGGAAGGGAAGGGAAGGGAAGGGGGGTGCTGGATCCCATGTATACAGGTCCAAACACATTAGGTTGGACCCCCTGCTGTGTACAATTATAACACCCAACACAACATTTGGGGGGTGGGGTACCGGGGACTAAACTCAGAGGCACTCGACCACTGAGACACATCCCCAGCCCTATTTTGTATTTTCTTTGGAGACAGGTCTCACTGAGTTGCTGAGGCTGGCTTTGAACTCCTGATCCTCCTGCCTCAGCCTCCTGAGCTGCTGGGATTACAGGTGTAGGCTATCATTTTTTAAAAGTAGGAATCATCAAGGGAGAATATGAAAGGAAGGAATGTGGACGTAGTAGCACCCTCTAAAACAGTGGTTTCCAACTTAAGCCAACAGCAGACCCCTGGAGGGCTTGCTGAACCCAGGCTGCTCCACCAGGTTCAGCAGGTGCAAGGAGGGGCTGAGGCTCTGAATTGTTAACATCCCTCCCCACCCAGGGTGACAGTGCTGCTCCAGGGATCAGCTTTCAGGATGCAGCTCTAGAATAGCCTAACGTGAGTGTTTCCTGATTTTTAAGCACCCTGAGATTCAGGACAAGGAAGAAAATGTGGCAGGGTAGGGGTGAGAGTGACCAGAGGAGGAGGAGCAGAAAGGCAGTGTATAAACTCGGAGGTGAGGCTCGCCCAGGTGCATGTCCTCTGAGGGCTATCAGAGGCGATGAGGCACCTGGTGGTCTGGGTGCTGCTGGCTGTCTGCATGTGTGGCCTGGATGCAGGTGACGGGGAGAGGCTGGTGAGGGGTGAGGGGACAGTCAAGAGCAAGAGCAAAATCAATTGTCCACAGAAACTTTACCTTTCAATGCTGGGTGGCAGCTGGTGACAAGGGAAGCTCTGAAGAGCCTTGTTCCAGCTCCTGGTACTTCCTGGTTGGATGATCTCAGAACACATTTCTTTGCCTTTATTGAGCCTCAAAATTCTCATCTATATAGTACTAAAATCTTCTAGGGAAACAATTTAGTGTTGTTCTGGAAAGTTCGCCTAGATATGTTGGTAAAGAAGCAAGTTCAAAAATACAGTCCAGTATGTGGAATAAGCTTTCCTTCATGTAGAATATAGAGTAAAAACTAGTTAACACATGTGCTTGTTAATTCACCTGCTGAATCTGTAGCTTTCAGAAGAATTACAGGGCTTGCTTGAGGGGGGATGACGGGGTGAAAGGTAACAGAAATGCCACATGACACAGCTATCCCATTCCTTGGTATTTATCCAAAAGAACTGAAGTCAGCATGCTACAGCAAGGTACGCGGAGCTATGTTTATAGCACCAAGATTCACCTTACCTAAGTTAGAAAAGAAGCCCAGGCGTGTGTCAACAGATGATGTAGAGGGAAAATGTAGTCTATATACACCATGGAGTTTTATTCAGCCATGAAGGTGAGCAAAATTACGTCATTGAAGGAAGATGGAAGATACTGGAGACAATTATGTTAAGTAAAATAAGCCTGTCTCGGACAGGCAGGTCACATGTTCCTCTCATATGCAGAAGCTGGAGAGAAAGAAGGGAATAAAATGGGGGAATCTCATGAAAATGAGAGGGAGACCCAAAAGTAAAGGAATCAGACCAGGGGGCCAGAGGATGGGAAAGCAAGGGGACTGGGGAATGACCTTGAAGAAGTCGTGTATGGGCACAGTGAACCCCAGTATTCTTTATCATTATCGTGAGTCAAAAAAATGGGGAAAAATAAAAGAAGATTCATTTTGCTGTCAGGATCAAAATAAAGTCACTCGTGTGAATTCCAACAAAATCAGAAATACAATAAGTGAGTAACCCCCGGATGCTGTGAAGGCAGGCTCCCTGGTAACACCAACCATAATGAAAGCCTCTGCCAGAATCATGAACTTCACAAAGGTCACTGCACACCAGCGCACAGGAAAACAGGCTTCAGACAGCACCGCTGCCAGTGCCGCTGTGTGCCCACCCTGCACCAGCACCACGCTCTGTAAGTCCAGCTGAGGAGCCCCGCTCCAGACTGCGTGCTGCAGCCATCCCCTGACTGCCTCCAATACGCGCCCCTGGCTCCAGATCTTCACATATGCCCACTGGTCCCCATGGCACGTGTGTGGCAGTGCTCTCCTGGTTCCTCACTGATGTCACCCATTCTTTGGAGAGTGTCTCGCTGACTGGTATTTATTGTGGCAGAACTACTGGGTTCCAGCAAAGGGACATTGGATGAGCCACATTTTCTCTCACCTACACAAAGGAGGACTGTGGAGACACCCAGCTCATAACTGCATGAAGGGGCTTCCCTGGGGAGAAGCAGGATCCCCAGTTGGAAATGCTTACAGTCATCCCCGATTGGGGTATTGTAGGTGCTCCTACCTCGGGAAAACAGTCAGATACGGGAATGTCAGGCTGCATTAAACAGCTGTTATTCTGGGAAAGGAGAACGTTATGTGGTCTAAATTTCACCTTTTTTTTTTCTGTTTCAGATTTGATTTCCCATTTAAATCTTCTAATTAAAGGTAGGGAGACCATCTCTATTTTTCAGTATCTCAGAAGTTATTCCACCCTTTTAACATCATTAGATTCCCAAAAGTAGCTTGCCCTTTGCTGTGACCTCACCATTTCCTGTGTCATTTTCCTCACAGGAAAGTCTGTCCCAGGTCAGAACAGCCACGTCAGATGGTTGAACATGCCCATCAGTTGCCCATCCAAATCTTTTCTCCTAAGCTTCCAGAAAAGTGTTCTCTTCTCCATTGAAAGTGACACCAGCCACTGAATGGGGGAGGGGCTCTTTCTTTTTACTTTCCTTTCAGTGGGCAAGTAATACGTTTATATGTTCATGGAGAAGCATGAGATGTTTTGATACAGCTCACATTTTGGTATGATTGAATCAAGAGAGTTTTCCTATCCTTCAGCCCACATACGCCTCAGGTTCTTAATCTGGTGAGAACATCAACCATTGCATGCGATTTCTTGCACTTAGAATGGGGGCCTCAGCAGGCCAGCAGCACGTGTCACTGAGGAAGCTGGCTCCCCTGCAGCGCAGGTGGGCTGGGAGCTGCAGGCCAAGTCACTGCTGCAGGCAGGGCAGAATGCTGGGGTAGGAAGCCGGTGGGGGAAGCGGAGAGTGTGGAGGTGCGGGGGGCTCACTCTGGCAGCCTAGGAGACACGCCTGTCTAGGAGAGAGGGAGGGGAGAGCAGAGACAGGAGGACTCAGGGTCAGGCCAAGGGAGTCGGTGTGGTCGCTGGAGGACGGGCATCCTCAGAAAGCCAGCAGCCCCCCTGCACCCACTCTGTGCACAAGAAGGTCTCCTTCGACGGTCCCCTCGGATTTTCACCACACAGGAAAGGCAGTTAGTGGGGCCAACAGGTGGCGGGGCAAGGGAGAGCCAGGCAAGTGCAGATGACCAGATGCACGCTTGAGGTCCATTCCCCGGGGCTGCCCTGCACTCCACACGTGTTCTCTTGCCAGAAATTATTCTGCATGAGTGCGCCATTCCATTTATCTATGGTGACGTCGTCTACCACAGCTGCACCGCGGTCCGAAGTGACTTTGATTGGTGCTCCCTTGACCACGTGTTCCGAGGAAGGTGGCGATACTGCACAGCAACTGGTGAGTTAGCTAAGGAGGGAGAGCTTAGTCCCAGCACCCAAGGGGTGTTGGGAACAGAGTGCTGCATGGTTTGGAATATCAGGAAGGCCTGAGTTCAAATCCTTGCTTTTCTATATAATTTTCACTGACATTTAAAGACCTTGGCAGAAAACCCTGATGCTCTGTAAAATCAGCAGAGACGATCTGAAGACTGTGTTCACAGCCCCTTCTCCTACCCCCTCCTCTGCAGATCCCCCCAAGTGCACCTTCCCGTTCACATTCAAGCAAAGAACCTTTGAACAATGCACCAAAGAACACTATGTTTTGGATCGGAGTTGGTGCTCACTGACCAGCAATTACAACACAGACCGAAAGTGGAAGCAATGTTCCCCTCTGCACTAAGGTGGCCAGGAAGGGTGGGATTGGGGTCTTCTCAAACCCACAGTGTGAGAGCCCTTTGGACTCAGTGGGGGGGACACTTGAGGACTCGCCATAACCTAGAGGAAGGTGCAGTGAATGTTGCCTTTAGAAATATTAAAGACTTAGTGTCCCTGACACAATTATCCAACTCTGCCTTGGGAGATCCAAGCAGCCACCAGCCCCCACCCCCCCCCAAAAAAAGATAATGCTGAGTAAAATACATCCTGAAATTTCTCATATAAACTTCAGGGGTATAAATGTTAATCACTATTGGCTATTTTTTTAAAGGCAAGGTCTGAACCACTTTAAAATAGGAAAGCTATTAGTTCATGGGTCACACAGAAACAGGTGGCAGGTTGGGTTTGGACTCTGGGAACTTGCAGGCAGTAGCCTGGCTAAGTGACAGGTGTTTGACAGGCTTTGACTGAAGGAGGCTAGTGCCACGAAAAGAAGATGAACAAAAGAAAAACAGAGTATACCTGGGTGGGATAGCACACTCCTGTAATCTCAGCAAATTGGAGGCTGAGGCAGGAGGATCACAAGTTCAAGACCAGCTTCAGCAACTTAGCAAGGTCCCAAGCAACTTAGGGAGACCATATATCTAACAAGAGGGAAAGGATATGGCTCAGTGAATAAGCACCCTGGGTTCAGTTCCTAGTACAAAAACAAAAAAGTAGAAAGAGAAGAGAATAGAAGAAAGAGTTACAGGCTTGGCACTCCACCAGTGCAACATAGCAAATATTATAGTAAAGGGAGTCATAGGAAATACAGAGTTGTGTTTACACTATCCTGTGGTCTATTAAGTGTGCAATTGAATTGTGTCTAAAAATGTACACACCTTAATTCAAAATAAGTCCCATTGGACTGCTGTTTGCTGGGGGCTTCTCCTGTCCCTGAAGCACTGCAGGAGCCAGTGCCAGCCCTGCCTCAGGACCCATCCCAGTGCCACTCCAGAGAGAATTTTAACAGAACAACACCTGGGAGGGGGGCTGTCTGTCCCCCACCAATGATGGGGTCCCTGTTGCCATCACAGGGTCAGATGATCAGCTCCACGTGCTAAACATCATGGATGGATTCTCAGAAGCCTGTGGGTCATGTCTGCTTTCTCTCCTGGCTCCCTCCTTTCTTTCTGGCTGCCTCAATCCAAAAAGCTTTGAAAATGCTAATGAAAATGATTAGGTGTGCAATCATAAAGTTAATAGATTCAGAAATCAAGGTAGCTTTGGGGTGAGGGGGAGAGAGTTGGCACCAATCCCTGGAGGCTGAGGTGGACTGTGACCTGACTCCCCCTTGTTCATGTCTCCACAGCATTTAGGTAATTCTTGGTGCTTTCAAAGGATCAGAAGTTACAGATTCTTCAACTTCTCAAAATGGAATCCTGTCCTTGCAAGTCCTCACCATTCTGATCAATAGCGACTTGCCCACTTTTCTACATGGAGGACTCCTTGTCCTGAAACAATGCACAGCCACAGCCCAGGGGTGACCATTACAACATGTGTGGGGTGGGGACCAAGGCTGGCAATTGTGAGGAGCAGCTTGCACTCAAATCAAGATCCTGTGTCATCTTTGGAAAGTTAACTAAATTCTCAGAGAACTTCAAATTCCCCCCCACCATTTCAAACTTTTTCAATTAAATTATATTGTAGTTTTTTAAATCTGGGGGGTACAAATCAACTGACACACAATTGACCTTTTAAAAGTGAACAATTCAGTGACATTTAGCACAATCATGGCACTGTCCAGCCCTCACTTCTGTTTAGTATGAAAACAGTTTCATCACCTGAAAGGAGACCCTGTACCCACTAGGCAGCCACTCCCATCACCTCCTCCATCCAGCCCTGGGCAGCCTCTCACCTGCTTTGCATACGCATGGGATTTCCTCTAAAAGAATCATGCAATACATGACATTGTGTGCCTGGTTTCTTTCATTCCTTCAAATGGTTTTGGAATCTGTCTGCATTACACCATGTGTCAGTGCTTTGTTTCTCAGGACTGCATAGTGGGTCCATTGTGGGTAATCACAGCTGGTTTATCCATGACACACACAGACACATGTATATTAAGATGCATATGTTACCTAGGTTAATTCTCATACTGAGACTCTCCATTAACTGATATTAAGAAACAGAACAGAGGCTAAGAATGAGGCAGAGTGGTAGAGCACTATGTTAGTGGGCCTGGGTTGAATCCCCAAAACCACAGAACCAAAAGAAGAAACAGATCGCTTCCAGCCCTCTCCATGGCCCTCCACCAGGAGGAGCCACTCTCGGGGTCCCGACAACACTGGCATCTGTACTTCATACCCAATGAACCCTGCCTGGTGTCTGTTCCCCTGTGGAGTGCTGTGGGGAGGCCCACCCTGGGCTGCGCAGGGCAAATAGACCAGGCATTCTCACTCCTGTGGCCTTTGCTGCTGTGTGAATGTTTTGTGGCTGTTCATCCATGTTTCTCTTGGGGGACACTTGGGTGGTCTTCATCAAGGGTCTATGAGAAGCATTGCTATAAACATTTTCTTGCAAGTCTTTGGTGAATGTGCACAGTGAGGGAGGATCGATGGTCAGAGTGCAAGGATGCTCTGCTCTAGTAGCTACTAACACAATATCTTTATTTTATTTTTATGTGGTGCTGAGAATCGAACCCAGTGCCTCACACATGCTAGGTGAGCGTGCTAACACTTGAGCCACATCCCCAGCCCCTAATAGCTACTGACAAACCCTCAGATCCTGGAACTGGGAGATGACTCAGGATTTATATTCACCTGTTCCCATGAGCATGGGACAACCATCTTCATAGTTTGAAATCTTTTGTTAGCTGAACTGTTAGGAGGTGAGGGGGCGATGTCAGACCTTGTGATTATGGTGTGGCAAAGCCCACGAGCAATCAGCGAGGCTGAGGTGGGAGGCTTCCAATCCACATATCTGGGACCTGACCCCTGCCGGTTCCTTGGTGGGGTTGTTTGAGCCAATAAGCTCTCCTTTGTAACCTAAGTGAATTTTATAAGCTTGACTCAAGTTCCCAGCCTTCTCAGAACCTTCCAGATGAACAGGCTGCACATCAGGAGGCAGATGTCCAGGGACGGGTGCAGGCAGAGAGGACAGTAAACTATGTTGTCCCCTGAGACCTGGTTTCTTACTCAGATTCAACCCTACCCACTGAGAACCCACTAAGGTCAAGGGCACTTACAAAATCTTACACAAGATCCACAGCCCTGCCATTTCACCTCCTTCCTACCTGAAGCTCATGAGACCTGTGATGCTAACATTTGTGTCCCTGCTCCCAAATTCACATTGAAATCCTACCTCCCAAGGTGACAACAGAAGGAGGCTGGAATTTGGGCAGAGGATGAGGTCCTGAGGGTGGGCTAATCCCATCCACCACAGGCCCGAGGATGAACAGAGGGAGGGGGCCTGGAATAGCACACTTCTGAAGGAAACCCAGAGAGCCCCCCACCTCTCCCACCACGTCAGGACACTGCGTGAAGGTCCTGTCTAGGAGCTGGACGCTGGCCCTGTCCAGGTGCCCAACCTGCCTTCATCCTGGACTTTCCAGCCCGGGGAACCGTGAGAAATAAGGCTCATGGTTTCAAAGCCACCTTATGGTATGGGATGGCATTCAGTTATAACCACCAAGGGGACTGAAACAAGAAAGGGTGGCTTCCCATGGCTGCCTAAACTCTAAGTGGGACCCATGGGTGAAATACAGACCAATGGCTACTCCCCAAGCTTCTTTTGACACCTATCCCTTCAGTGACTCTCTCACAAAAAATATGTTTTCGGGCTGGGATGTGGCTCAGTGGTGGAGCGCTTGCTTAGCATGCATGAGGCACTGGGTTCGATTCACAGCACCACAGAAACAGTCTATGGATAACTAAAAACAAATTTTTAAAAAACATTTTCTCTCTCATGTAATCCAGGAGTTCTTTTTATTTTCCCCCTTTTTTCTAAGGATATTTACCTTAAGGTAGGAGAACAAATGCGATACTCTGCCTGTTCTCCAAAGAGAGGGAGCTGTTGGACAAAGTCCATGCCTTCTGCTGTCTGAGCCCTAGCTGATTCAAAGAGTTTCAAGGGGGCAAAAATCTCCTTTTATTGCAAAGTTATGTTTTATTTGTTTAAAATGCATGTGCAGATGTTGGTCGCCCTTGGAAGTCAGAACTCTACATTCTTTTTGTTTATATTTATTTTTTTAGCTGTAGTTGGACTTCAGACCTTTATTTTATTTATTTCTATGTGGTGCTGTGGATCCAACCCAGGGTCTTGCACATGCTAGGCAAATGCTCCACTGCTGAGCCACAATCCCAGCCACAGAACTCCACATTCTTTATCCTCAAATATCCTCAAACCTCCTTTTGAGGTTGGTTAAGTCCATTTTAGAGAGCTTCTTTCTTAAAGTCTCATTGTCCCATGGCCTGCTTTCCAATGCTCTATGAGTCTCCTATGTGAGGAGAATCTTAGAAATCGTACATGACACTGTACCTGAACTATTTGGAGACTTCATATTTAATGTGTCATTGCTTGCTTTATAACTTCTAATGAATAAATTATAAACAAAGAGCTCTAATTTTTTTTCATTATAATCTTTGTAAGAGCAAACTAAACCAATAAGCTAAAGGAAATTATTCTAAAATTGTTGAAATTATTTTCACATTTCCATCTGAGTTAGGAAATCCAATATGGTGAATAAACTGAGCATTGTGTTCAATTCTTTAGAGTATTATATAATAATGATGTGCTCAGATAATAAGACCTCTTTTAGAGGGCCAAATTAATATTAGTCTATATACCAGTTCTCAAGGAGTTGACTTCAAGAAGCCTAATAATTTTCAAATTTTTATAGCATTTATTTTTTTGCATATATTTTTAGTTGTAGTTGGACACAATACCTTTGTTTTATTCATGATCGAACCCAGTGCCTCACACATGCTTGGCAGTCTACCGCTGAGCCACAGTGCCAGCCCCAGCCTCTAATTTTAAAATGTTTGACTTCCCTGTGGTGGTTGATATTAGGTGTCAGTTTGCTCCCTCTAAGGGTACACATGTGGCTGGCAAACACTACTTCTGGAATAGCTGTGTGATGTTTGTGGCATTTGAACTGTGGACCAAGTGAGGAAGACCTGCCTTCAGCGTGGGTAGGGACCAGCTCATCAGCTGAGAGCAAAAGAAAACAAAAAAGTAGAGGAAACATATATTTGCATCTCTCCCCTGGAGCTGAAGCCCTCCTCCTGCCCTTGGAACTCAGAACTCCACATCTACCCTCAAGACTCAGGACTTGTGCCAGGTGCTGTCCAGCTTCTCAGGACTTGGTCTAGGATAGAGATTATACCCTGAGTTTTAATGCACATAAGAACTTTGCACCTGGTACCTGAGACACTCCCCATGCCACCCCCAGTACTGGGGAGTTTTACCAATATTCAGGTGCCACAAGAAATCAAATATGTACTCAAAAGAAGGTGGGCAGGGCTGAGGTTGTAATTCAGTGGTGGAGCACTTGCCTTGCTTAGATCCTCAGCATGAAATAATTTTTTTTTTAAATGGATGGGCAAAGCAAACTTTAGTTAGCCAGAAGGGGGCGCTACAAGAACCTGGATGGCAAGTAAGCCTGAGCAGGCAGTCCTCCTGCTCATACCCCAATGCAGGACTGCTCTTCGCCCAGATTGGAGGAGCTCAGAAGTACAATCGACATGATTGGCTACTTTAAAAATTGGGATGGGCAGAGGGAAGGGATATAGTTTAAATGGTCACAGTAGGACCCAAGGAAGCTGAACACAGCATTGTGAAAACGAACCACCATTTTCTGTTTCTCAAATGATTGAACCCAGGGCTCCATGCATGGTAAGCAGGCACTCCACCACTGAGCTATGTCCACAGCCCTGAGACTTTGCACCTGGACTGAGAATTCCACCATTGCCATCCGTGGTTCTGGGGCCTTTAGACTTAGACTGGGCCCCTCTACCAGAATCCCAGGTCTCCAGCCTGCAGTAGGTCTATGTGGGAATCCTCCTAATTAGAAAGTCAATTCCCTTTGTAAACCCTCCCCACATAGCTATACCTGTATGTAGGTTGCTGTGTGTATGTGAGAGAAAAATTTTTTTTCTACTATTTCCATCTCCCAGAAGATCCTTGACTAACACAGTTCCTAAGCACCTTGAGTTGATATGGGTTATAATTAAAACTGAGAAAAACTTAAAACAGAACATTACACAAGCACATAGCTTATCAGCCCCAAGAGATCTTGTCATCACACATCAGAGCCCCAGGAAATCTCTACTGGCCCATGAAGAAAAAAGTTAAAAGAGCAAATATGGCTTAATGCAACCAGGGAAATAGTTTGAATTCCATAAACCTCATGAAAATGCCTCTTCCAGACCCCTAGAACAGACCTTTTTCTTTTAATTTATTTTTTAGTTGTAGTTGGACAATACCTTTGTTTTATTTATTTTTTTATGTGGTGCTAAGGATCAAACCCAGGGCCCTGCACACACTAGGCAAATGGGCTACCACTGAGTGACACCCCAGCCCAAACAGGCCTTCATAACTACTGATTTACAGATCATTATGTGGATCATGGAAAACCTACTTCCAGTCAAAGTCCTCCCATGGAGAACCAGGGCCTGCACTTCTCTTCAAGGTAGGTGTCAGCCAAGCCATCCTGTGGATGACCTCATTGAAACCCTTCAGAAACCTTTTGCCATAAACAGCACTATCACTCCTATTTTCAAAAAAAAAAATGAATACTATATATATGCGTTCACTCAGTGCTTATATTACTGAGAGTTTAGTCTTTGTCTCCAATGCTAATCTAATAATGAGGACCCAGTTTTGAGAAAAAAAGTTTTACTACTTTGCAAAGGAGAAGGAAGTGCACCCAGGAACACCCATTCCACTCCTAGTTGGAGACCCAGACACTCCCAGGTGACTCAAATGACAGGTGATGAGTAGTAGCCAGAGAGAGGACCTGTGGGACCTGTGGAATGGGGCAGGTGTGGGACCTGTGGAATGGGGCAGGTGCAGGACCCCCATCCACTCAGAAATCTCCTGGATCTAATTCATCTGTGTCTTCAAGGTCACCTTCCTCAGGCTCTGCAGTGGAGAGTCTCTTCAAGGCTTCTTCTAGTTCCTCTTCATCTCGGGGCCAGGAACTCTCCTGGGCATCACCCTGGAGGTTCCTACGGGCCTCAGACAGAAGGGAGAATTCTTCAGGTCTTCGGAAGTGGTCACGTTTGCAGGATGGGCATATAAGAAAGTATGTGGACCAGGATGCGCCTACCCAGACTGAGGGGGTGCTGGATGAGCACGAGGGTGGGGGGAGGCTTGGAGCATATGAATTTCGCATACGAAACCATCCCTGGGGAGACAAAGGGGACACGGAAATATGTAAGAGGGAGTTCTCACACCTGCCTGGGCCCCAGATGGAAGGTGCATGTGGGGGGCGGCGCTGGAACAGGGCATGTGCCTCTAAACCAGAGGTCGGGAGGGCTGAATCAGGGTGGTGCGCTCCAGGCCACCCTGGGTAATGCAATATAAGGGCAGGGTGCTGGCTTGGTGGTGGGGAGCTGGTCTGACACTGGGAGCCAAGGACCTGGATTCTGTGCCCAGCTCTGCAAAAAGAGAACCAGAACACAGAGAGCCCTTGGCTCTGGAGATCAAAGGCAAGGGGGAGAAACCCAGGGAGAGGACCCAGAGCCCAGGGATGGGGGACTCCGCCAGGGGCTCCTTGGGTTTAGAGGGTGCTAAGGTCTGGGTCCTGAAAGGGCACCGGGCAACAGCCAGCAGGCAGGCAGGCCCTCCCCTGCCAGGGCAAGGTGAGGTGTGTGGAGCCTGAGTCCCACCTGCAGGAGTGGAAGATGTTGCTCCCCTAGGCCGAGGCGGGAGGCCAGGGCCATCAGGGTACTGTGGGTTGGAAAGGGGTGCTTCCTGACGTACTTGTCCAGCAACTCCCTCTGCTCCTTGCTGAGGATCAAAGTAGTCCCCCTCGATGCTGATGTGCCTGGGAGGAAGGAGAAAATCAGAGAAGCCCCACAGACCATCCCCAGCCACCCCCCATTGACACTGCCCTCCCCTGGGCCACGGGACTCAGCTGGCAAGGTGGGCGGCAGCACAGTGGACAGGAAGTGACACCTGGACCGGCCCCAGGGTCACACCTGGCTTCCGCCTTCCAGCCCAGCCCTGCCCCTCGCCAGCTTTGAGATGGGCCTGGAAACGGCTGCTGTGCTCTCGGGACCCTCGGCCCAGGGGGGCAGGCCAGGAAGGGCCCTCACCCCAGAGCACTGAGCCCTGGCCTCCAGCCTGCTCTGCCCTCTCCAGCCTCTGTACTCCCCATCCCAGGGCTGAAGGCACTTTCAGGGGCCACAGGGCCCCAAGCTCTGCTCAGGCACCAATGCACATCTTCACCTCAAGAGTCCACATCTGAGCCTGGTGTGGGGCCCTGTAATCCCAGGGGCTTGGGAGGTTGAGGGAAGAGGATCCGAGTTCAAAGCCAGCCTCAGCAAAAAGTGGTCTGAGACACTGAGACCAAAGGGAAATGCACTCTGGGCTTTAACTCATGGCCTGACAGCACTCAAGCCCCACAGACCGCCCCTCCCCAGCCAGGTCACAGAGCTTGGTGAACTGCCCTCAGCCTCAGAAACCAGAAGCTGCTTTGAAGGTAATTAGGGTCTGTCTCAAACTCCCGGAGAGTTCCTCACATAATGAGCCTTCATTCATGAAGCCTGTGCTTTGAATGGTGCATGTTGGAGTTCCTTTTGCCAAGAAAACCGCTTGTCCCAAACAAGAGCCCCCCTACTCTCCAGGAGCTCCCCCTTGGACGCCTCTTCAGCGACAGCCCATCTCCTGTGACATCCCTTTCAGCACAGGCCCCATGCGGCCCCCAACTAGCTCACCCATCATAAAGTGGATTTTTTCAATCTCATTCATGGCAGCGATCTCTGGATCCCTGGCAGCCATGTCATCCAGGGCAGCGACCTTTCTTTCCAACTCTTCCAGGACAGCGAACTCTCTTCTCATCTTGTCCATGGCAGCAGAGGCTCCTGGCAGAAGAGTGGGACCAAACCCCCAAGACCCCGGGCTTAAATAGCCCACCTGCAGGCTGACCCAGCCCCACCTCCCCCGCCCCCTGGGCCCGCCCTGGGAGGGGTTTCCCTGCTGCATTCCAACTTCCCCCCAGGAGCTGAGGCTTGCTGTGGGGGAACCACAGGACCCACCAACACAGCCTCAGCCTCTCACCAGCCACTTCCCGGGGTGTCCAACTTCCCTACCGGGCTGCAGCCCCATCTCTTTAGGGCCAGGGAATAAGTCCACCACCGACCTACCTGAGCCACCAGCCTCCTCCCAGGTCCCCCAAGGACACACTCCACTCTCCAAGTTGCAGGCTGCAGACCTAGGCTGTGACCTTGGCTTGGGCTGCTCTGCCCTGGGGCTGGAGGCTCAGGGGTGTGCCCAGGGAGGGCTGCCAAGGTCTCCTGGGGGTGGAGTAAGAGGGCTTCAGGGTTCTGAAGGGCCCCCTGGGTTTGGTCCAGCCATCGTTTAACCACCACGGAAAGACCCCCAACTCCAATTTAAAATAAATTAAAGCAAGCTTGTAATTCCAACCAGCTGGGACAGTCTCTCCAGAAACCTGTGGGTGAGAGAACAGCCCCCCAGCTCCCTAGGAGCACAGCTTTATAGCACTACAAGTCACAAAGGGGGTGTTTTGAGAACTTACAGAGAACAGGATTTTGACAGGCATAACCCAAAGGCAGGCAGTAGGTTAATGGTCTACAGGGTTCAGCACTTAGGGAGTGAACTGGGATCCAACATCAGAATTTATGAGGTACAGCTGAGGTTTCAGAGGGGGGTGTTATCTGGTCAGGGGAAGCCAGGCATGGTGAGTTCGAGGCACGGGAAGGCATTCCAAGCAAGTTTAGACATCGCAGTAATTTACAGTAAAAGAGAAATTAACTTTTGTGAAGAGGTGGCTCCGAATCTAGGAGGGAATTAGGCTGGGTTCATCACCATGCTGGCAGACCTCGTCCCTCCTGGCCTCGGATTAAGGGGACTGATGAGGGGGTCACAGACCAGGGACCTCAAAATAACTCAGCAAAATTCAAAATGACATGAAAGTTTACAGATTCTTAGGACAGGTCTGTCTCCTTACCTAATACTGCTGCTCAGTGTCCTGCCTGGGATACGCCCCACCCAAGGCTGGAGACACCACCCACGTAGAGTGTCTGCCTAGCTGCTGGAGTCCCCACTTCAGTCCCAGCACAGAAACTGCCACTGCTCCTCGCCTCACCCCTTTCCACACTTCATGGACCTGCTGGGAACAAAGTGGTGACCATGAAAACAAAGTCCTGGCCCTCAAAGATGGACACTGTGGCCAGGTGCAGTGGCATGCCTGTAATCTCTGGAACTTGGGAGGCTGAGGCTGGAGGACTCTGAGCTCAAAGGACAGCTCTGCCCTGGCAACTGTTTTTTTGAAATGGGCTCTTTCTGTCTCTTCCCCTCCCCTGCTCCTCCCTAATCTCCCCCCTCCCTAATCTCTCCCCTCCCTAATCTCAGGGAAACAGGATCACGTTTCTTCTCCATTTGAGGCTCATTTAGCTCTCCCTGAGCACACACCCACCACAGGAACCCAGTAATGCAGACTTGGGGGAAAGGTCTCAGAAATGCCTCTCTCTCACATTGACAGGTGAATCCCAGCTCCAACAGGGAGCCCCTGGAATGGAGCCTTTCAGTCACCTCTTAAAAAGCCCCCTGTTCCTCCGGATGGGCAGAATCCCAGCCTCTGGGCCGGGAGTGTCCCCTGTGTTTCTTTGCTCCCAAAGCAATAAACCTTTTCCCTTTTTCTCCAAACTGTCCTTGTTATTGGATTGACATGGGACAAGGACTGGCCCTTGGCAACACAGAGAGTCAGAGACCATTTGGAATAGCTGGTGGGGGAGGCATTCCTTCAAATCCTTCCTCATGGCCCCATTTCCAAATGCCAGTGGATGGAGGGAGGTCCTCTGGCTGGAATCTGCTGGAGCAAAACAGGTAAGAACCAAGTTGGCAGAAATGTTGCCAGAAGGAAGCAACTAACCCTTTTTCTCTTTTTTGCTACAGGGCCCTGAACCCAGGGGTGCTTTACCACTGAGCTGCATCCTCAGCCCTTCCTGTTTTTTACTTTGAGACAGGGTCTCTCTAAATTGCTTAGGGCCTTGCTAAATTGCTGAGCTTGGCCTGCAACTTGAACCCCAGAGCCCCCTGCATTGCTGGATTACAGTGTGTGTCAAACAGCTTTGGTCATTGAGTTTTGAGCCCAAGGAGACAGGGATTTGGGATACCCAGAGAGCTGATGCATCTTAAAGGAAACACCCCAAAGACATTGAAATGCAGGAAGCACCCAGGAGCCATTATACCCCTGAGTGACCAGCCCTTCCCCCCCCCCAACCTGAGGGCAGGTGAAACTCAGGGAAACCAGTATAAAATTGTGCAGCCCCACCCCGCCTCCACCTGGGTCCAGCCCCTGGCACTGGCCTCTGCAAATATGAACACCCACACCACAGGCTGCCCTCTCTCCCTGGAGGTGGCCATTCTCCCCTGAGAGCCCATTCCTGTCTTCTCCAAAGGCGACCCTCTTGAGATTGCCCCCATCCTCCCTTGAATGAACCTGAACTTCCCAGATAAACCTCCCTCTCTGCCTTTGCCTGGTGTGTGCTGAGATTCTGTTCTACCTTCCCTGCCAAGAACCCCTCTGGGCCTAGCTCTCTGCAGGATCCCCAGGACCCTTTGGAGACAGTCTTTGGAGACTGGGGGGGGGGGGGTGGGGGGATGCTGGGTTCTCTTTCAGAGCCAAGGGCAAGATCCCGCACTGATTGATCAGTGAAAGGTGTTTCTTTCTTGGCTAAGAAGAGAGTGGGAGATGAACATGTCATCAGCCCTCACCCTGGGAAGGGGGGAAGGATGTAGCCAAAGGGAGAGGGAAAGCAATAAAGGGGAGGAATATCTGCATTTTATTTTAATGAGGTGGGAGGTCACCTGGGGTCACTGGCCAGGCACAGATAGGACTGGTTTCAGTCTGCACACCTGAACAGGGACTCCTGGCCCAGGCAGCCTGACCTCAAAGACAAGCCAGGTGCAGGTGGGGTAAAAATGCCGCTGGGCCATCCAGGCAGCTTCTGTGTTTCCCAGACTGGGATCCCAATTAGCCCTCAGGGAATGCAATTCCATTCTTTTAGACTTCTCTGATTTTATTCTTGGTTGACATCACCAAAGTTCTGTGTGCACAAGTGATGCCTGCGCCTTCTCCCCAGCAGTTCAGGTGACTTCTTTTTTTTCTCTCTCTTTGGTACTGGGGATTGAACCCAGGGGCACTCACCCACTGAGCCCACCCCCAGCCCTGGTTTGTGTTTTATTTAGAGATGGGGTATCACTGAGTTGCTTAGTGCCTTGCTTTTGCTGAGGCTGCCTTTGAACTCTAAAATCCTCCTGCCTCAGCCTCCAGAGCTGCTGGGGTTACAGGCCTGAGCCACTGGGCAGGGCAGCCAAGGTCAATTCTATTCCACACCCTCCCCCAGAACTTTTTTGTTGGCACTGGGGATGGAGCTCAGGGCCCTGGACCTGCCAGGAAAGTGCTCTACCACTGAGCCACACCAGAACCCCCATTCATCTCTGGGTGAACACAGGGGTTTCCCTACCCTTTGGTCTTATGCATAATGCTGCTATGAACCCAGTGTGGTTGCACACACCTGAAATCCCAGAGGTTTGGGAGGCTGGAGCAGGAGGATCACAGATTTGAAACCAGCCTCAGCAACTTAGTCAGGTCCTAAGCAACTCTATAAGACCCTGTCTCTAAATTAAATTTTTAAAAAGGAGGGGGCTCTGGGGACGTGTCTTGTTATTAAGTGCCCCTGGGTTCAATCCCCAATAAAAGAAAAGATGCTTTTGTGAGCATAGGAGTAATATGATTGCTTTTGGTTTTGCTTTTGAGATAAGTGGGAAAAATAGGTAGACAGGAAGGACAAGGAAATGTCATTTTTGAAAGAATTCCCCACGCAAAGACACTTCGCCGGGAGAATTCCAATTTTATTGCAAAAAGCTGTGTGCTTATATAGAACTAAGGGGGAGATGGTAGGGCTTAGATAAATGGCAGGCCACACATTTATTGGCAAGTTCTTTCAGATATCAGCTCCAGAGCCCAGGAATTAGTTCTCATTGGGGCTAAGGTTCCCCGCCAGCAAGATTTGAAATTGGCGCCGGCGGGAGAGTTCACATGGGCGGGAATTTTTTGCGCCACTGCAGAAAAGAAGAAGGTAGGAAGAAGAAGTCCTTAGGCGCCATGTTGGGGTTTTTCTCTGGGGTATGGCTGCCGTTTATACTTTTCCCAACAATTTTAATCTGAGGTGCTGCCTGCCTTAGGCCTGTCACTGGCCAATTTCTGGGAACTCTGTAAACCTTCGAGTTACTGTAAAATCACCCACTTATGAAAATTACCCTGAGTGCTGTCCACGAGCCCACCAATAAATAGATCAAGTAAAGAGGCATAAGCCATTTTAAATGACCTGCAATTTAAGGGACTTCCCAGGATCTCTGCTGGGTTAGACAGTGGAGACCATATCAGCCCAAGGATCCTGAGGAACCAGACCTTTTTCTTTTGAGACAGGATCTTGCTAAATTGCAGAGGTGGCCTCGAACTTGTGATCCTCTTGCCTCAGCCTCCCAAGCTGCTGGAATTACAGGTGTGTGCCACTGTACCTGGCTGTGTCTCTCTCTCGAGATGGCCCACATTCTCCCCTGAACGTGTGTTCCTTGCTTTCCTAAGTAGATGTCTGCCTCTGCTGAGGAGGACCCCACTCACTCCCTGTTGTTGAAAAACCAGCCTCTACCTCAGAGCAAAGCCTGTCCAAGGAAGGAGCATGACCTTGTCCTTGGAAAGACCCACAGAGCACTTCTAGGCACATACCCACCCTGCTGAGTTGTTTATCTACAAATAACAGGAGAGATCTGTGGCACCAGGTGTCCCTGACTCAGTCAGGCTAGGTGGGGACCCATAGCCACCCCCTAGCAGCCACAGATCAGCACGAGACAGGGAAATACCTGGGATGCCAGATGAGCCTCCCAGTAGTTTATGGTGGTTGATACCATGTTGGGAAACCCCATAGTTCAGCACTACTCACCTTGTGGTTTAAACCAATCAGTTCAAATCACCAGTTGCTGTGTGTGCATGAAGGACTGAGCAATAAACACCTCTTTGCTGCTTACAATGATCTCAGTCTCTGGTGGTCTTTTGGGGGTCCTGAATTCCACTTAACAGTGGTGCCTACTGTTTGCAAGTGTGAAACCATGAGGTGCTGGGAGCTGGGAGTCTGGGTCCTTCCTTCCTGGCTCTGTGCTACTGCAGCTGGCTGTGAGTGCCAAGGACAGAACCCATGGATGTAGGACAGAGGGCTCTTTACCCAGGAACTTAGAGAACCAGGCAATGTGTTGATTTACTTTTGGTTTTTTTTTTTTTTTTTGGTACAGGGACTTGAACCCAGGGACACCCTACCAGGGTGCTATATTCCCAGTCATTTTTAATTCTGAGGGAAGGCCTGGCTAAATGGCTGAGAATGGCTTCCAGTTTGCCATCCTCCTGCCTCAGCCTCCCCAGCTGCTAGGGTCAC